TAATTTTTATTTCTTTTTCAAAAAAAAAAATATATATATATTTTTTTCACCATTAATTTACAAATCGATCTCTTAGTGCTCACAAAAAATCATTAAATGGTTCAAGTCTCGAGACTCTGCTCGTAAGAAGTCATATTTTTCAAATCAACAGAAGCAAATGATAGTTTCGAGAGAATATCATCAGTTCTCCAAAGTCAATATTCTTTATCAAGGGTAAAGTGTAATAAGTAACTAAAGGTTTTTTTCTGGACAGAATTTCATTCTGAATGAACAAAGTCATGGCCGCAAACCCTGACACTGGAGTTTCTTCCTTCAGTATTTGGCAGATATTTCTCATTTGCTCTTCTTCACCATTGAATTCTAAGTGAGACAACGACAGCTTGGCAACATTTTTTCTGCCAGGAAGTCTTGAATGCAGTGTTCCGCTGGTTTCGATGTTTTCGACTTCCATTTCAATGAAATTTCTAATATTTAATGAAATTTCATCCCATTGCCAATAAACTACGTTTTCAGGACAAGAAGTGAGCTATGTTTCAAACAATTGTGAAATTATAACCTGCAACATTTTCCAAATTTTTTATAGCGAAAGTTCCGTACACCCACCGTGATGCAAACGAACACACGAAACTCCCACGATGATGTCAGAGGTTTGCTGAGTTAAAAGAACCAATAAACCACAAGAAGATATAAAAAGCAAAAAGACTAAAAGTAAAAATATACAAAAACAACACAATTGTCTCCTTCACATCAGACTCATTCATATACATACATACGAGTATGTACGCACTACTCAATGTCGACGAACGAGAGTAAAATGCAATAACCAAAGCGCCAAAACTTAAAACCTCATAAAATTGCTGCATTGACTTTTGTCGATAAGAATTTGAAGGTGAAGAAATAATTAACAGGGCATGAAAGCGAAAGCTACTTGTGGTTATGGTTGTATGAATATACACGTCTATGTATGTACGTACATATGTATGGTGTATGTGAATTTACAACCGCCACATTATCTATTACAAACAGAGAGAAGCCGGCACTTAATGAAATGTGCTGCCGATATGCTGAGAATGGTTAATGCAAAAAAGATGCAATTTATTAAACAGTTGATTGAATTATGTGCAGATGAGCGCGAACATATCTCTTAAATCCTCAAACAGAAATAAGAATTTGATTTTCATGCGGTTTAAATAAAAATTTAATTATAATGTATCAAATAACANACTAAAATTAATTAAAATAAATTAGAATAAAAACAAATGAAACAAAATGAAATAAACAAAATAAAATTATTTTAAAAAATAAAATAAAAAAATTTAGTCAAATTAAATTAAATTTAGTAAAAATATGTAAATAAAATATATAAAAAAAATTAAATAAGTAAAGATTTCATATGCATAACGTGCTCATATATTTAATTCATTAAATACTTAAAATTAACCTTGAAATATTATTAATGGCTATTAATACATTATAAATATAACAATTTGTGGCTTACGAAATATAATAAGTCTGCAAAATGATTATTAATCAATCAAGCAGCAATAATGGTGACGAAAAAAGCTTCACACTGATACATTTCGGTATTTCATATTGCGACATTTTTATTTCGAATCAAAACCGCACTGCAAAGTACAAAAACCGCAAATACAACAATGTTAGCTTACCTCGACACATAATGTCTATACTAACTACGCCCTAATTCATACACTTACATATGTACGCATTTATGTTTGTACACTTAATGCATTTAACATACATAATAGTTGCTGTTTTTGTTCCATTCATCATGTGTGCGGCATACATTGAGGCGTTGGTGCAATGAAAACCTGCGGTTAAATCGAGTAATTTGAGTTTTTGAAGGCGTTAAAGAGTTCAAAAATTAATCGCCTCTTTCTCATTTTTCCACGCAAACTAATAATATAGGTCAACCGATTGTGGAGTTTGTACTGTTTTGAATATTATTCATTTCCGCAAATCAAATGTCTGACAAATACTTTCATTCCACTTGATTTGATTTGCAAGCGAGCGAAAGTGACAAGCCGCTCACCCACTGCTGTGGCAAATTATGCAATTGTAAATAATTGAAAACAGCTGTCAAGAAAGTGCAAGGAATGACGCTGACTGCACTAGTGTGAGAAAGAAGTTTTCTAATCAAACAATCTGTATGTGATTGTAAAGTAGATGTTATTTTAAAGAATAGTCAATAAATTCATATGCATATAGTTAAGTTGATATTGTAAATTGTAAACAGTATAAATTTTTCCTTTGTGGTCATAAATTTTCCTATTCAAAACTCGACCTGGCCAAGCACTTAATGCAATTTAAATATAATCTTAAGTGCACAATACCTCTTCACTGGACTCTCGAGCTACAGCACCTAGCATGAACACATTTATTCTCTTAATTTTTTTTTATATTCTCTGAACTTTTGATATTTAAGTAATTTTTCTGGAACATAAGAAATGTTTAACATACAACACAAATCATAAGGCAAAAATTTTTATGAAGTAAAAAAAGGAATATGTATTTCGAAATTAATTACTAAATTGATTTTTAACTGTTTTCATTCAAGTCCCTCTAAAACTTAATCAAATTAGAAATATAATATATCATATTTTGTTTTCAAAGAGGATAAAAACTCAGACAAACTCTGTAAAATTTCAATTCGAGATTTCAATGTAAACAACATTCACTGCTATTAAGCACTAACTGTGCGAATCCGCTACAACAACAACAACACTAACTGTTTATTAACATGTTCTGTTATAATGTTGGAAACATATATCCATTCTGTTATTAACATTGTTTAATTTAAAATTTGTTAACAGTTTGCTTTTGTTCCAACATCCATTTTAACATACTTAACAGTTGTCTATTAAAATGCTGTAAATTGATAATAGTTGCCTAAAAGTATGCAGCCCTTCGTTTAACATTTGTTGTATTGACAGCAGATGGAATTTTTGCATACTAACCGCACTAGGTCAATAAATCACTAAAATATACTCAGTTATAAAATTAATTTCCTTTTTTAAAAATGTGATGTAAATAAAATTTTTTTTGGTGCAGTTGAATTTTTTTAGATATAAAAACAATTTTTTTTGTTTTTTGTTACAATGTTAAATTATACATAATATTAAGTTTACCTATAAGCATTTAGATTGCTTTCTAAGTGAATAACTATGGCATTTAAAGCGAAAAATAATGCCTCGATTCCAAAGATTTCGTGTTATAATAAAAAAAAGCTGAAATAAATACCATAAAATAATAACGAACAAAAAAATACTAAAATAAAATAAAATAAATTTATATGAAATAAAATAAAATAAAATGAAATGAGAAAACAGAAGAAGCAATAATAAAATAATAATAATAATAATTAAATTAATCTAATATATTGAAATAAGGAAAAATAAAATAAATTAAGAAATAATAGAACAAATTTAAATGAAATAAAATCAAAAACAGTATAATATAAAATAGGATAAAAGAAAGTAAATTAAATTAAAGAATGTGAAATAAAATATAAAATTAAATTTATTTCTAAGGAAAAAAAGGAAATTAAAAATAAAATAAACTGAAGTAAAATAAAATAAACACAATATAAAATAAGGTAAGAAAATAAAAACAAAATAAAATCAAATTAAAATAAGACAAAATAAAATTAAATGAACTAAAACAAAATAAATTTGAAAAAATAAATTAAACAGAAATTAAATAAAATAATAAAAATTTAATAAAATATAACAATATAAAATAAAATAAAAAAATAAATTATATAAAGGAAAATTAAAATAAATTTTAACGAAAGCAAAATAAAGTATAAAAAAATAAATTTAAAAAAATTAAGCAAAATAAAAAAATGAAGTAATATAAATTAAAATGAAATAAAATAAGGCATAAATAAAATTAATTTATATGATATATATAAGACAAAAGCAAAACAAATAATTTCAAATAAGTTAACGAAAAATGAAGTAAGATGGAATGAAGTAAATAAAATAAATTAAGGAAAAAAATTAAAATAAAATAAAGTAAATTTATAAAATATTAAATAAATAAACTAAAATTACACGAAAGAAAATAAAATGAAATACAATAAAACTAAATTTGATTTCATATAATTCGACCTGTTGCTCACCTCGAAATCTTAAAACACAAAAATGTTTAATACATTCATAAAATTTGAATCATTATCGCAGCGGAGTTTTCTTTTTCATATTCATATTTTTGATGTATCTTTAACAATGGACACTTAATGTTCAACTAGTCTATTATCTGTACCTTCAAACTTCAAAATATATAAGTTCGAGTCTAAACTTAATTCACTTAAAGTCTCCCATATGTAAGTACATAAAGTTCTATCGCATGGAAGATTGAACCCACAACCTGAGCCGCTGATCGTTGAAATCTTAAAATCCGGTAAGAAAGGGTTCTTATTATGCCAATACATATTTGGAGCTTTGTAACCGCTAAAGCGATTTCCAGCCGAGCTCCTCCTCCAGTTTTTGGTTTGCGTCTTGATGCCCTCCGAAGGGCTGATGGTTTTTTATGTAAAGCCTTTATTTCATGTCATAAATACACTCGGAGGGTACATTCCCTGCCGAGGGGAGTATGCAACTAGAAAATTTTAGCTTAGTTTATTAATTAAATTCATTTTCTATAAGTTTTGAATATTAGGGCGACACCAGAATTTACCGTTTCCGCCTTCTTAAACGGCGAGCAATTAACTGAGTCGATTTACGCCAAAAATTAAACCTCTCTTGACTCACGTCGTAAGGGCGACTGTGAGTAGATGACTATGAGTAAATGAAGAGTTAGCGCTTAAAATAAATAGCATTTTAAGCAGTTATTTATATTTCCGTCTGCTTACAAGAAATACTGCTTTGAAAAGTATTTGAATAGGGGAAATATGTCAACCTCTAGGGCAGTATTTTGTGTGGTGTTCTTATTATTGCTCTTTCATGGCAACAAGTTTTGATAATTATTAGTATACTCACCTTACAAACACCATCCACACACATAGCACGTTGCCTATAATTTGAACGAAAGTATTCAGCGGGCCGAAAACATGGTGTTCCATCCACTACTGATGAATTTAGTGTAGCAAAATACTTCATACCAAGAGGCTTGCAGTTCAATTCACACTCGGCATCCTCTAGCGATAAAGAAATAGAAACAAAAATAGTTTATGAAATAAAATTGAATTAAATAACATTTAATTAAAGTAATGCAATGCCTCCATTTTGAATGAAATAAATCACGCACATTTCTCACAAAACTCATAGAAATAAAATATGCATTTATTCTCACATTTACCGACCTTTAATATATGGTTCCCACGTGTATTTATGTCCCTGAAAATCGACTTCATTGAATGCACCACATTGCACGGCACGGAAATCGGCAATGGCAGCTGGGCAAGGCTGTGAAGAGAGATAGATCAAAAGGAAAATTACTCACGATTTATGCAAGTATGAGCAGACAAATATTGATTATTCTTACATAAAAACATTGTAAATAGTGTATTATTATATATTACTGATCTATAACTCATGCGGTACATGACCGCTCCAATTACCTGCTCGTTGCAGATGTGATAACGCTTGTAAACACCAATACAAGCATTGCTAATATAACGCTTACCAGTTGAGGAGTTGCTAAAAAGAAAAAAAAAAGATAAAGAGAGAGAGAAAACAAAGAATATTAAACAGGCCGGACTACTTGGAAAAATACTATATAGCGATAAGGCACAGACGATTTTTAAAATCTTGAACTAAGCGAAAATATATGAAATAATAATTATATGAAATAAAACAAATTTAATTAAATCGAAAAACTAAATACAATTAAACAAGTAAAAAAGTCCTTGCTTCAAACTAGGACGCATATTCTCATATTCAGAGCACATATTTCCTTCTTAAGTTGCTTTGGGTATACTGTATATATATATTGTATTTACTTTTAAAATCAAGCATAAATTGCGCTAAATATAATTTTTGCTATACATGAATTATACAAAATATTTATATATACATATGTATATGTACATATTATATATGTATTTCTATCCTTACATATGTCAAGAATGGAACCTTGAAAATCTGCGTATGCATAAAATTCGCAATTTTAATTAAACTGAACCCAGAATGAACTTCAGCGTCGCAAACGCACACACACACACATTCAAAAAATACAGGCACACAATTTTTTTGTATGACTTAAATTCACAGCTCATCGTCTCGGTTATTACTTGTGGTAAATAGGCATTTATTTATTATTTTATAGCTTTATATTTATTTCTTTACTTTCAATTGACCCATTGACGCACGTCCATATACAAACACAATTACACACTGAACACCAATACATACATATGAATGTATGAGAATCTCACAGAAATATGCGCATAGAAACACATTCTTTAAGTGACAACAAATGAATGAAATTAATATGCAGATATGTATATAAATATATATGTAAATATAAAGCTATAAGTACATATCTAATAAGCAATAAATAGACGCAGATAAATTTAATGACAAAACTTAGCAGAAAATTTGCACTAGAAGCACATACACATATGAAGTAGTAGAAAAAATGGATAGCAAAAAAAATATTATGAATTCACAAAAAAATGCGGCGCCAAAGTTTATGGGAAAAATTCGCAGAATAGTGACGAACTCATATTCATACTTAGTGGCGCTGCGATATCAACGAGTGGATATCGAGTAGATTATATAATTATTTACTTGAAGAAAAACTCGTGAGTCTCGAAAGACTCGATAAAGAAGCGAAAGAAATGGAGCTGGTAGTGAATAAAGACAAATATTTCTTGTTATCAAACAAACAGTCATCGCATACACGACTCGACTCCCACGTCACTGTTGCCAGTCATTACTTCAAGTTCGTAGACAATTTCCTCTATCTAGGGACCACCTATGATAATGTCAGCCTTGAAATCCATCGCCGAAAATATATTGGCAACAGGTGCTACTTTGGGCTGTGTAGGCAATTGAAAAGCAAAGTCTTCCCTACACGATTAAGCACCAAACTCTACAATCGTACAACTTTATTACGAAAACTCACGAATGAGTTTCACGCGGCCTACTGAGCGTACTATGCGCTATATCTTCCAATATGTTAAGATCCAGCATTCATTATTGGTTAGGAATCGACCGAATAAACCACCTCCATCCCGCAGTGAAGAAAATATAACGGCCGTAACTCAGAGTGTACACGAAGACCGTGATGAGTCGATTCGGCGCCGTTCGCAGTAACAAAATACAGCTTGTGCAAGAATTGAAGCCGCTCGACCTTCTCAAGCAACATCGCTTCGCTTTATGAGCTCTTGAAAAGTTTCGAAAAGATCTGACGTTTTCGAGCAAAATTTTGCTCAGCGAGCCAAGCAATCGTGCCGCATATGGGCAACCTGAATAGATTCAAGAGCTGCCATTTTATCCAGAAAAAATAACAGTTTAGTGTAGTGAAATCATCGGTCCGTTATCGCGCCATAATACATTTGATACCGGAAATCTAAGCTCGTTGTCTCGGCGATATTTGGTTTCAACAAGACGGTGCCACTCGCATCAATCAGTGGATTTATTGTGAGAACACTTCGGTGAGCAGATAATTTCACGTTTGGTTACCAAGATCATGTGATATCACACCGTTAGACTTTTTCCTGTTGGGATATGTAAAGTTTAAAGTCTATGCGGATAACTCCGCTTTGATCATAAAGATCGAACGAGTTAGCGAAAATTGGACCCAATGGATGAACCGTCCAAGACGTAGTCGTGGCCAACGTTTGAAAGACAATTTCAAATAATTGCAAAAGAATGTCATTTCGAATGATTATAAACATTCCCCATTAAATTGGAATTTTCTTTAAAGAGGTAGGGAACCTCAGAATGAATTCCTCTTCATACAATAACATTAATAATTAAAGACAGTCGCTACGCTTGCCAAGTCATGTTCCTTTGAACATGGAATGGGAACACCTTTATTTCGAAAGGAAGGAGCAGGTGGAGAACGACCTCATTTCACTTGATATTTCCAACTGACGCCAAACAGCGATAAGAAGGGATAAATAGTGCGCTATTATTAACACGGCAATAAAAGCGTAAACTTTATCTTTATGTCTCTCTTATGGGAACCCTGCCTCTTATGAAAAAAATTGGTAAAATATAATTTCACAGGTTTGTTTTGAAGTTAATTCGCAGACAGATTCGGCCCCGCAACCATTAATCTCCCATGATATTTTTTATCACCATCTTCGGGGTGTATTTAAATTTTACGCTGAATTTCTATATTTAACATTTACGAACTAAGACTTATGTTGTCTACACTAACACTTCAGCAAAGCATTTGATAAGGTGTCACATTTCTCTACTTCACGTGGAACTGGATTATTTTAGGTTTCCTTTTTAGTTTCTTCGAAATATTCTACATCACGTGAAATATCAATGGCATCTGGTGCTCCCCAAGGCAGTCACCTTGACCGCTGCTGGTCCTTCTGGTGAAGGCTAGTCTTAGCAGATAATTTGATGAGAAAAGAGATGTGGTTAGCACTGTTCCCTCAGTAAGATTTAAGTTTACGGCCTTTGGTGAAGATAACTAAGGATCTATGATCCACAATTGCTGCAATTTCCCACTCGTGCCTCTCTCCCTCGGTCATATAATTGGCGCTTTGTAACCGCTGAAGCGTTTTTGGACCGCCTTCGCACCGCTGATGGTTCATATATCACATAATCAAAAATATATTCGAGAGGATTGCCGAGGGCCGATTGCAACTAAAAAATTTAACATAATTTTTTATTTAAATTAATAAATTAATTAATTTATTATAATTAATTCCGATTGGCAGTACGCTATGTTTACCACTCGACCATAGCGACTGATACACTGATGTACGCAGTTCCATTGAAGCTCTATCTTCAGTTTTGCAGTAATAATTAAATCATTTATTGAGCCACCTCAGGGCCCATTTTAGAAATCATATCATATAATATAGCAAAAGGAGTCTTAGCTGTCATTAAACGTGAGGTACGTAACGCAGGGTTCGTCGTCGAAAAAATCGTGACCCGCCAAACCATTCGCCATATACAGGAGCATATGGTATCACTTGATCCGAACCGTTAGGTACAATGTATGAAAAAGAAAAATAAGAACTCTGATATGTAACGAAATTGGAACCTCATGCACGCAATGAAATGTAACGACAACTCATCCACTGCAACAGAGCTTAGATAATTAAACACAACCATAAAGTGGAAAATATTATTGCAATGTACCGGTAGCAAGGTACTGGGAATTAATACCTATCCAGATACTAGTGATTGGAGAGCAAATAACAAATTGGTTTCCGCTATTGTTTACTATTAGGTATATTTACATATATAAATAGAAATGTTACTCATACGTCCTGTCATTAGCAGGTGCATATATTTATCCAACCACATATGCGAATGTATTGCAACAAATATAAAATATTTTTTTTTCTGTATCTGAACTTTCATTTTAGTTTAATTTCCGTTTGCAATTTATTCGCCATTGCTTATAATCGTTTATATTCTACTTTTCTTCGAACAAAATTACAAAATCGTATACAATTTTCTTTGCAATTAATCAGAGATATTAAGAATATTATTTCCTTTTTTATTTGCCAGATGTTGCTTAACTACATATATTTCACGCTCATGTGGTTTTCCTTTTATTTTATTTTATGCGCTTCTTAATATTTTTATTCTGTTTATTCATTTAGCGGTTTTTTCTTCGTTTTATCTTACTATCACATAACACAGAATGTCAAGTGTAATTGAAATTGAAGCTGACCGTCGAAAGCCGGCCGCTACCCTCAACTGGTCTTCTACGCAATATACATACATACTCGTATATATTGAGAGCGTTCACAGCTGTTCACTGTTGACACACATTTTTCGCAATTTTATATTTATTAGACATAATTGGTGGGAATGCAAATATAGAAGCGATTTGTACCAAACAAAGTTGAAAAGAATAAAAGAAACTAAACTAAAGTCATGTAAAAATAAAATTAGTTGTAATAATAACTAAGCGCTTTAAATGTTTCAGTTTTTCTGTATTCATAATTGTGACAGTTGATTAAGAGAATCAAAAATTTTCACGCTAAAATTGCTAATTACTTAAAACAACGATCGTTGACGAGTCTCTTATAAATAAATAATATAAATAATGTCGCATTAGTTTCAATATATTTCATTCAGATGCAGATATATGTGAACTTTGCTAACATTGGGTTTTCCAAAGCATATTTGTCAAAATTTTGGCGCCGATGAAATCTTCTGGAAAAATTTGAACTTTTTAAAAAGAAATTTAATTTGAATCATTAATTTAATATTTAGATATATTTGTCTTGAATGACAGACGGATCAACCCACAACCACAATCACTTATCATAGAGACCTAAGACTTAGAGGGTGTATTCTGCGTATCGAGTGTTTCGAAAAGAAAGAAATTTCTGGGAAGTGGACCTTATCGTTTCGAAAAAATCTAATATATTTGTAAATCGTATAACTTGCAAGAAATTTGATACATAAATAGGTGGAACGTGGATCTGGTGCTCGATACTCCGACAAATTTTTCCGCAAATTTCTTTCTGGAAGTGGGGTTGCTTGAAAATTGCATGTTTAAAATATTTAATTTAAGTAAAACCCGTTAGCAAATATCGAAATATAATAATTTTTCATTTGAATGGTATTAATAATTTGTGTATCTTATTTTGATAGAAGTATTAAAATAAAAGGTTCATTAACTGGATGTTCCAACCGATATAAAAAACAGTAGATCGTATTAATCAAAATTAACAAATTATCAAAAACGATTCTGCGCTCACAATATAAAGTTTGATTTAATGACGTCATTAAAGAAAGTTTTTTTTAGCAAAATCTAATACCTATGATGCCTACAATTTACCAATTTCGGTACTACAAGTAATAATCAAAGGAGACTTTCACACATTAAAATAAAATTAGGGATTGCTCATAAGGGAGAAATAATAATTGTTAAATGAGAGAAATTAATGTATTATTAGCAGGCGGTTGCCGGCAGACTTTAACAGCAGTAAACGGGGAAAGTGAGCAGACATAGTTAAAGCAGAATAATGAATTCGTGCAATTGTAATTTTAACACCAAAACATGAGAAATCCTCAGGCAGAAATGAAATAAAAATCACTCCAAGTGGTCGAATAGCAATATAAATCCATCAACTCAGTAACTAAGGTCGACAAAGTTCTTAAATACAGTAAAACCATCCGGTCTCCCAACTCATATATTAAAAATAAGATTTGTTTTAAATCCACCGTCATTGCCTTAAGGCATCAAATTACAACTGAAAAAATTGCATCGAAATGTAATCGAGACTATTATACTTACCGGTTGTTTCACGAAGAATATGTATGTATACCTGAGGTACCCCACATTTCATCAAATTATCTCTTCGAATTTCAGAGAGTGCAGTTTTCTTTAAATTTTTATATGCAATAAGCAAAGCTCTTAAGGCAATAGGAGCAGAGAAAGCAGCTTCTCCCATCGCCAGTTGTGTTAGATATGCTCCAGAATAAGCTCACAGAATAGGCTGATTAATCTAGCACGGAAAAACGAAAAATATTGTCCCCAAAGAAATATTGTAATGTTATGTAATGTTATTTTCATGTTTGTTTAACCGTTAAATCCCTAAATTATAACAAAAACATACAACATACATCATCTCAGTAAAAAACAAAAAAATAATGAAAATTGGTACATTTTATAAGTATTCAAAATATTTCATAAAATAATTTAGATTTAATATATATTTTCAATAAGAGATATTATTTTGATGTTAAAGAAACTCTTTCCTAAAAAAAGTTCGATGATTTAGATTCCTGTGTAGCGCGTAGCGCTGTCCAGACTAATAACATCAAATTTCGGCCATAAAATCATGAATTATCTCTCGATAGCGCACTCGCACCAAACAGTTACATTTTGAAGATAAGGAGACTTTCAACTATAAATTTTGGGTTTTCCGAGCCCCAGATGTGACAGTTTTGCTTATTGATGTAATCATCGCGGTGGAAATGGTCATAATCAGTCAAGAAGATTTTTCAATTACATTTAAATTGGAATTTTTAATAATATGAATGCATTGTTCAAGAGTTTAACGTTTTAAGTTAATAAAGGCGTAGTTTTTACTTGTCAAATTTCCAAAAATTATAGCTTCAAAAGCTATTCACAATAACATGTCTTAAGGAAAATTCCTTTGTATTCGCCGAATGATCTCTTTTGCTTAATTAAAAAAATCGTAAATAGTAATAATAAAAACCCTAAAACCACGCTTGCACCATCCTTTTTGTTTAACTCTATCCTCACCGCATTACAAATAGTCACAATCATATATTACATTTCCTTGCATTACCTTAATTCAATCATCTCTGACCTAACCATAACCTATGTATATTTATAGAACCATTAAAAAACTATTGCCCTGACACTCTTTAAAAAGCTATTTATACGCATTCCATAAATAATAAAAATAAGCATTTATATAAATCTATAAAAAAAAAACTACTTAGTTCACTTCTTTTCACCATGTACATACATATATACCATATAAAGGCATATAATATTATAGTAAAACATCACTACTAAATCGAAATGGATTTAAAGTAAAAAATATCCAACTAGTAACAGTTGATAAGGACCAATTGTCTGATCATGTATACATTCAAACATACAAATATTAGTAGTCTTATATTGTTAATAATGTATGTATGTACGTATAGGGCGCCGTAAGTTCTACATTTCGCATTACAGTCAGTCGATGATCGCATAATATTTATTGGAAATACATGTATGTATATTTGTTCGTTTGTACAGGCAATTTAATGATTTTAAATTAAAAGGCGTACTTGCTTAATACAAATATAATATAAATGTTTTTATTTTTTAATTTTTTATTTTATTTATTTATTTTTTTGAAGTCTTCCAAGTACATAGTTCACCGTACATATACATATATCAATAGTATTGTAAGTAAAGCGATAACTCAAGCCATGGCATACCATGTATGTATATTTAAAATAATACGTACGTATATAGATTTTTATATGAAAGTATATTATTGGAATCGATTTTAGGTATTGCAAAAATTATATTTCATTGTGAAACGCAATTCAGTTTCGAAACAACAGCGAACGAGTGTGGATTTTTGCGTTAAAAAATATAAGAAATTGCACAAGACTTTTTAACGTTTTACGAAGAAAAAGTCAAATATCTTAGCGGTTATAAGCATTAAATACTAATTTTGTTAAGTGTAATGGCGAATAAATTTCAAAAATTATTATTAAGTGTTTTGTTGTTGCATCAGGTAAATTTACGGAAGTCAAGACAAAAGAATTAATTCGTATTTATCTAAAAAATGTTTTAACTCAAAAGGTCGCCGAGAGCAGAAGCTTGCTACATTAGCATTTGCTTTTTAAAAAGAACGATATAAATTTTTGTGAATTTATTGTACTAATATCAAATATGTATTTTATTTCTTATAAATACGAGCCAAAAGTGTTAAAAAGGAGGAGACTCCAACATAATTTTTTTTAATAAAGAAATTACATTAAATATATAATAAAAAGTAAATATGATAAAAAAATATTTAAAAAGAAAATTTTTGGTTTAAAGAAGAATAGTTTAATGTATCCAATTGAATTTTCGTAATAAAAAAAAAAAATAAATAAATAAAAAATATAAAATATAAAATAAATTTTTACAATAAACAGCTTTATTTGTCTTGTCAAGCAGTTTAACTAAAAAAAAAAGATTTACCAATAAATTGAAGCAACTAATAAATATATATGTATATTCATTTACCTACAAACCATAATTATAAAATGTTACTTTATTTGAATACAAAAATATTTTTGTAAATAATTCTGCACTTTATGAAAAATATTGTCTAAATTTAAATAAAAATTGCATTTCCTTAAAAAGTCTCAATCATATAATAAAATAAGTATGTCTTTTTAAATATGCAAAAGATTGAACTCATATATAATTTTTTAATATTAATTTAATATTTAAATTAATATATTGTTATGTAATTTTATTTGGAAAAAAAAATTTTGCATTTAATTAAATTTTAATGAAAAACATATTTATATAAATATTATATTTCATTAAAAATAAAACTAGAATGTCTTTTTAAAAGAAGAAGATTGAACTCACATATAATTTTTCATTATTAATTTAATATTTAAATTGATATGTTGCTTCTCTTGAAAGAAATTATATTTTCATTTAATATCATAAACAAAAGATTTCAAAAATTTTATCCATCACCCATTTTTTCCATTACTTAATAGGCTAATAAATAGAATTTCTCATATAAATTCTTATTAAATTATATATTTCTATTAATTATTGACAAAACATAACAAACATACCCATGATTTTGAGATTAATAAATATTTCTTTAAATCTATATGAGAAACCTTAAGATCACAAAACAAGCATTTTGCGGTTCTCATGAAAAGAAGTTTATTTATGTTTACTTACATCCAATTATCTTTCAGCGCTTAAAGCGAAATTTAAGATATAAATATTGTGATTTTAGTAATTTTATTAATATGAATGTCATAAGTCAATTAAAATGTTTTTTCATATTATTCATGAAAGAACTATTTTTTTTTTTGTTTTAAAAAAATGTGTATTTAAATAAAATTAAAGCACATTGCGCATAAAAAATATTTTCCCAATTACAAACTGAGTATATCGTAATTTCAGACAAATAGAATAATTAAAATAAACGCAAGTAATCAATGTTTTGACTACAGACCCATATTATTGTAAAAAGAAATGTAAAAAATAATCACACATACACTTTTGCATACACGTATGACAATTTATACATACATACACGTACTTATTTACGCAATTCGATTAATCTCATCACTGTACCACCCATTTATTTTGTCTTGCTAGTTCACACGCTCGACCGCCTTCCTCATACCACACGATCCCGAGTGCAAAAATAGCGATAACGAGACTATCGAACCCAGCGAGAAATGCTCATCGATGTTGCACTTTCAACGCAATTTGGGTAAATATCGCAATTTCTTTGCAAATCTTCTCCAGGAGGAGAATGAACAATTCGCTGCCGAACTACAGGAGTTATATAACACAGTGAGTTCAGCTTTGGTGGAGCACGACTACAATGAGATGCAACGGCAGTTCTTCTACTCTGTTTGGCTGGTGGAGCGCACTAGAGATCTTGAGGACTATCTGATTATGAAAGGCTTCAAGAATATTTAGGAAAGCATAAACAAATGTTAGCTTTAAATCTTGTGTATGCATTTAGTTGGTTCTTTTTGTAGATATACATATACTCGAATAGTTTACTTTTCTAATTAATTACTTATTTCAATATCCAAAGAGGATTTATTAAAAGTTTGTTGCGCTCTTTTTAATCATAAACCAAATTTTTGTTCATATACATATCACATTTTCCCATTTTTCTTCATTAATTTATTATAACTAATTTTAATTAAAATAGTATTATGGGTGGCATCAAAATAATATCTGATAAAATTATTAAAAATTTAAAATTTATTGACCGTTAAGTCGATTTTATATTCGAATACATAACAAAAAATAAAAAGGAAATAAAATTATAAATTTCTTCTTGTAACAAATATTGTTTTTAATTTACTAGGTCCAAAACTTCGTTTGGTTTTTATTTTTTTTTTTTATTTATTTATTATCTCGTTTGATTTTCAATTTTGGAATATTATATTTAGATGGTTATAAGGAGTGAATACTCATCAATGTCGTGCATTCAATCATTTACTCGTATATGTTTTAAATTTTGGATTGCTTTTTTCAGATGCCTTATGTACTTATGCATGTACATATATATTTAATGTGTATTCTTGCACACAAGTCCAAGTCCGAAAGTCATTACGATTCCATCGGCCAAACAAATCTGCTTATTTTAGTCCTTCAAAATATATTAAACTTTCGCTCGAGCTTGCAAGAGTTGGACTTTGCTTTGCAATCGTAAATGACAACAAAGTAGTAGTAGTAGTATGCGTGAGTATTAATTAATACCCAGAAAAAATATTTGAAGCATTTCTATGATCAATCGATTATACATAGAATACCTTGAAAAAATATGTGTTGGCAATGGATTTTCACATTTTTGACTATCTAATATTTTTTCATCCTTTACTTCTTTTGTATATTTTATTGCTTTTTTTCATATTGCTTTTTGCAACAATTTTCATACTACTGATTTAATATGAATTGCAATTATAAATATTGTTCAATTAAAGGCGAGTCTGAGCGTTTCGTGTCTTGTTGGCCGTGCGAAGGACTCACCCATATAAGGTGTGCTGACTTAACAGGGAGAATTCTGGATTCGATTAACGATGGCAAAGGTCTAATATGGTCACTCCTTAAGTGTAGATCGACTGAGCTCGAATTCCACAAACTGTTTAAGCAAACACGTAATGGGTTGAAAGAGATTGACCGTGAACTTGGCTCACTATGGGATAATTTCAAGCATTATGATAGAATGTTCCAAACTTTTAAATGCTTGAATGGTTCATGATTCCAGTCCGTCTGATGTTGAAACTGTGCATATTCTGCCCAAAATGGAAGCCCCAATTCCGATTCAAGATAAAACTTTCCCTATAGAAGAAAAACCGGCCACTTTTCAAGTGCAAAAATCATGTGAAGTTCCTTTAATTCGTTAATTACAATCCGTTGAAAGTCATACTTTGCAAATTCTTGAGCCTAGTCCCAGGCAGTTGGTTGCTGATCTACCCAGAAAGTCTATATTTGTTTCCAGATTTGCAAACGATGCAACTGATAGCATTACATCTCGTCAAAATTAAATACTAATCACTTAAATATTCGTAAATTCAATTTTGGTTACGAAAGCAATATGAGGTCTTTCAAAATTGATGTTACTGCTGACGTTTTTGAAATTCCTATGAATATCTCATTCTGGCCTCCATGAGCTGTTGTACGTGGATTTGAGCACAAATGTAGACCAAATGTGGGACCAAAAAAACTAATAAATACTCGCCCCCTGAGAATCTTTTATCAAAACGTTAGAGATATGAATATAAAATTAACCGATCTTTATTTAAGCATTCTTCATTGTAATTTCAACGTAATTTCATTACCGAAAGAGAAACCTCAAGTTTTTAATAATGAAATTTTATTAATGACTATAAAATTTATAGATATGATTCTGTTCAATCTACAGTGAAGTTCTACTCGTGGTTCATTCTTCTATACCCTCAGAGGAAGCATGCATTTCTCTTGTGGGTTCCATTCAATTCCGTGTTCGTTCCAGCTGCTCCCCCTGGATCGAAAACGAATGTTTAAGAAAAGACAATAACATCCATTATTTTCTGTATTATATTTTGCGGATCCTACGGTTGCGGTGCAAGCCAAACACTACTGTGAAAGAATTGCAGATGCTTATACAAGCTTAGAATCAACGATGTATCTAGATCAGAGCAATTGCCAATAGGCTTTAAATATTTCCAAAAAGATAAAAACGATGTCCAAGAAGTCTGGTTTGTGGAAATAAAAACGTTGGATGCAAAATCAATAGCATACGCTATTGACGACTTCTTAACTAAACCAGATCAGATAAGTTAAGGTAGGATTTATTGGCTGCTCAACAACGTCTGGAAATGAAGAAATTTCGCAGGCAATCTTACGCAAGAGATACCCGAAAGCTTTATAATTTTATTCTTTCTCACATAAACTAAATTTAATCAACAACGTGCTTAATACCCTGCTCGACATTCGGAACACCGAATGGAACAACGGAAAAATTCTAAGAAGGAAGCTAATCCCCAATATGATATGATATGATGAAAAATGAAAGCATTGCAAAGTTTGTCACGTATTGCCAACGCTGCTACCCGAAGTAAAGTCTTCCCCCTTTACGACGTTGCTTCCATAGTAACCTTTATTAGGTGTCTTACGATAATTGCTAAATAATCGACGATGCCGGAGCCGGTAGTCAATGTGCTTCAATCAACGACTTTTTACTTCGTACTGATTGTGTAACGGATGAAGTATTAAGAGATGCAACATTGGTTTCAGAGAAAATTTGGTTGCAGGATATTATATCACTTCACGGTCATTGATTATTCCTTACTTGGACTCAGTTGTTAGTTCACTCGAAAATCGGTCTCCCGATGGGAATTATGAAACATTTTCCCTGCCCTGTTTATATATATTTAAAATTGGCGCTTTAATTAAAATTTTAGTTTAAAATATCCTCTGGGTTAGCTCTATTCAGGGCAGCGCAGAACAACTTTCTCACATTTTTAAAATTATAAATCTGTTATCCGTCCCCCCTGGTTGACGGGACACTGGGGGCTAATATTGTGTCATTTCTACTTGTTTCTTGTTGCCGTTTCAACTTTCGCTAATTCAAAAATCATCAAAAGCTATTCAAAGTTTTTTGCTAATAATGGTACAATAATATTGAAAAAATCTTCTTCATTACAATATTAGAGTTTTAAAATTATTTCAAAATTTTGTATACTAAAGTACTGGTGCTTTAAATATATATATATAATAATATCAAAATACTAGCTAACATTCTAAACTAAATAAAGTACTCTAAGTTGAGTCTCAATTGCTTTGAACTTATTTATATTTTGAGGATATCGAGCCTATTTCTAGCTCTCTAAATCTTTTCAAGGAAACTTAGTATATTTTTTTTTGGACAAAGGCCATATATCAAGGCATAGGTCAACTTATCGTGGTATTCCTGTTAATATAAGCAAAAAGCCACCTTTGTATCGAATTTCAAGCAACTCGATCCACAACTAAGTTTTTTTTGAATAGGTCAGTCGCTGGTCCACTTTCCAGAGAGAGTCATCTTGTTAATCTAAGCAAAAAGTAAATTATTTCAAAATATGTTTACAAATTATCAGATGAGAAGAAAATTTAAATTAACCCTGGATCAACTTGAAAAATTAAACACATACAATTTTCCCTTGTCCTTTTTGTACAGGGCCGTGAACAGGGCAATTTTTATTTAATTAAACAATTAGTAAACCGCTTAAGCGGTGAACATCAAAATACAGTCGATTTTAATGTAAACATTTTCGCAAAATTTCATCCATAAGTCACAATGGCCGGTTGACCGTCGAAAGCGTCCAAAAAATCTAAATCACTATCATGAATATTTGAGGTTATATTCAAGTGACAGTAATGCTAAATAGTATTTTTAACTAAAAATTTCATTTTCGGAAAAGAACGTTGTTAATAGGTTAACGCAAAAAGGTAATCGTTATTTCTTCGAAAAACTTCTTTATGATTTACTTCACATCAGAAGAATATTCTACCATATTATTGTTCAAAAGCCTACCAGTTTTTTCTACACTTGCACCGAATTTTTAGATATTTTTTTTTCGTGTAACTTATGGACATTATCATTCATTTAAACTATTTTTTCACTTTCTTTCTAATAGCTTCACTAATTCGGACATTTTCATATGATTGAAATGTATAAAAACCATTTTTTCATGAATTTTAAACTCTTGTCTTTTTTTTATTTTAATAAATAACATTTTTTTTTTAATTGTCGCATGTATTTAATATTTTTTAAAGTAGTTTTAATTCACATTGCAAAAAAAAAGAATTTTCCCCCAAAACCACTTTACTATATCAAAGCACCGTTACTGTCCAAATCGATCGAATTGAAATTCCAATATTTTATAATCCAAATACCGCTTGAACTTCGTTGTTAAATCATCGAAACTGTCCAACACCTCAACTTTCTGCTTTAAATCCACACTCAACAAGGCCGTTTCTACCTCTGCAAGAGTTTGTTTTAACGCAGATGCAAATGACAACGCATCCTCTTGCTTCTGCAGATATAATATAAATTCCTTGAAAAATTGCAACTGCACATTCAACACCGCAATATCTTCAGGCTCCGCATCGATCAGTTGCCATAGCGCTGCAGAGAATTCTTCTTGTATGCCGGTGAAAGCGGCATATTTCTCATCAAAATCAGCCATCTTTACCGCGCGCTCATAACCCGGCAATATTTTCTCAATTTCCGCTGCCATTTCAGAACTCACCTGTGGCAACAGTTGACGCATGCTCCACTCCTGTATTCGTATATCCTCGTTAAGGAATTGCTCATCGTACTGCAGGTGAAGGTATGCTATGAACTCCTCTCGCTGTTCATCTTCGTACGCGAGTAGCTCCCTTTCGGCAACTAAGGGATCTTCGACATTCGTGGCTGTTAGGTAACGTGCGAGTAATTGTGCCAACTCGTTGGTATATTCTACGTTGACATTTTTCTGTATGAGCGCCAAACGACGCGCTGTGTAGCTGAGATGGCTGCTGATTTGCAACTTCAATTCGTCCACGTCGAGCTCGACTTTAGCTGAAGCGCCGAGCTGATTGGTGGGAAGTCAAAAGTCAGTTTAATTTTACTCTCTCCTCATAAAAACTAAATTTCATGCTTCCTACCTGCAACAACAGGACTATTTGAACAAAAAATGGCAGCAGCTTTTGCAAAAGCATTGCGTTTTAGACAACCGTGTATTGAGAAGACGTACGATTTACTATCCGTATGAGTTGAAACGTTTCAAAACGTCTTAAAGAATCTTCCAATCGCATACGTTGCAATTTTACAATTTTTACACGGGAAAAAATCGTTCAGTTATTAATAAAATATATAGCTCGAACACTTTTCCAAATCATAAAAGTACGATTTAAGTAAAACTTATTTTATCCGATGAAGAGTTTTTTCGAAAAACGTTAATCTCATTTGAAATCTAAAAAATGACTGATGAAACGAATGTAAAAAAAATCTCTTGCCATTTTTTGATTGGAAATTTGACAGCAAGGGTAAGCATTCAATGACAATTATTTGCAAGAGCTGTGTACCAAATACATAGATGAAATCATTTAATGCAAATGCTTACTTTTAAATTTGTGCATCTAAAGGGTTCTCCAAAAGCGGGTTTAAAAAATTAAATAAAAATCACGATAAATAAAAAATAAATCAATTCGGTTGAAAGATCATAACAAAAAAAATTATGCTTCGTTTTTACCCGAAACGAATAGCTTTCGTTACTGTTAAATCGTTACAGGTAATGTTAACCGTTACAACTGAAGTGTGCAGTTAAACTGTAGCACTCAGGCATCATAAAAGCAAGGTTTATGATTAGTTTGCATGGTTTCAGTATAAACAATTTTATTTCGTTTCGATAACATGGCACCGAAGAAGTCAGAATTATTTCCGTAAGCTTATTTTATATTGACAAAACGAAATGGCATCGTTTCGTTTGTTAAACATCTTTGACGAATATATTTACAGTGATTAAGAAATCTTAAATATTTATAAATAGGTTGGCCTTTGCCTAACATATAATCAGAAAATTAAATTAATAGAATACAAGGAAAATTTTAAATATACAGATGAAAATAGATTTGTATTTAAAGCAATTTTGGCAATTTAAAATTCATCATACATACTATAAAGTAGTGGAAGTATTTCTGATAGTGATTTTTATTTGCCTTGTAGACATTAAATTTAGGACCACCCTGTCCTTTGCGTATGTGCTTATGGTAACTTAATATGTATAACAAAACATAATTAGATTAATCTGACTGTCTCTGCACCTAACAAGTAACATAGTTGAGGAGACTCAATTTACAACATGCAGAGAGCCACGAATTCATAGAATTAATTATTGAATGAGTATGAGAATAAGAAGTAATGAAAAGATATGAATAAATTTAACTAGAATTTTACTTCAAAGGTTCGTCTGTAGCTTACTAGTTTTAAATATCGACGCTTAACAAACCCTTGTCTTATTATTATTATTATTATTATTATCAGTACTACTATAATATAATTATTACAATTTTTATTATTATTATTATTATTTTTATTATTAATATTAATATTATTAATATTAATATTATTATTATTATTATTATTATTATTATTATAATTATTATTATTATTATTATTATTATTATTATTATTATTATTATTATTATTATTATTATTACTATTATTATTATTATTATTATTATTATTATTATTACTAATATTATAATTATTAGTAATATTGTTTTTATTATTTGTATCAAAATACATAATTTACAAACTCAAATTAAAGCAAATGACGTATAAGAGCTAATAGATATTTTTTTTTTTGTTAAGTTTTGGATAACTTATATTTAATTTTCCTTTAAAGCATATGTTTCCATATAGTGTTGTATTCCTTTAGAAAATAAATATAAATTATTTTCATATAGATTTGCATTTATTTACATATTTCCAAGTATCATATCTCACAGTGCACCAAATGTTCCGCTTTGTTTATCACCTACCCAGGTTTGTTTAAAAAAATGTTTATTTTTCTTCAAATTATATCCAATTAATCAAATTGCGAAAGAAAATACTCATAACGGCGCTATTAATCACACGGAACCAATGCACGCGACAATAAGGCACGCAATCAATCTTACAGTAGCAATAATCGATAAAAAGATTATGAAAAACTTAATGGATTGCTGTATCAAAATAAATGTATTTACTCAACCAAATGCCAGCAAAAGATCGTTTAGTATTTATAACTTTAACTCAACGACAGTATTTCAAAATTGTGTGTAAGATTTGAGAATTTGCTTAAAAAAATAATACAAAAGGTTTAAAAGTATTGCTTATCGTAGTATTCTAAAATTTAAGAAAATATGAAGAGTTTCCAGCTGCTTAAATCACATCGATTACATAAAAAACTTGATAAGAAATTTAAATTGTTACCGCAAAACATCTTGCTCTATTAGATCTCACTCTGCCAGACTTGCATACTTCATTTTATGAAAGTTTGCCTGCGCATGTCACCAACATATGTACAATACATAGGTAAAAACGATGATACGTTTAAGAATTTTGGGAAATAGTTACTTTGGCAGATCAGTTTGCCATGATGTAAAAAATAAAACTTCCAAAACATTCAAGTATAAAAGTCAAACTTATGATATTTGTTTCCAAATTCCTAAACTGATCTAACTCATCGCCGGACACAGATATGTTTCAAACTTCCTGCCGGACATCCCCAAACGCTGAAAAATTGTACTCAAATTTATGTTATTTTTTCATTATCTAGCGATATTTTCCAATCTAAAAATAAAATAGAAAATAAATTTAGGTACAAGTTTCCAGCTTTTGATCGCATACGGGAGGGGTTCCATTACAAGACTCCAATTTTAGGTCATTTAAACATAGTTCTAAATAAAATATCCAAAATCTATAAGAAATTTAACGCAAAATTCTCCAAAAATTTCAAGCAATTTATTTAACTATTTTTAGAAAAATATTTTATATTACTTTAGTATCAAAATGAACTGATATAAAAAAAAACAGCTAAAAATATTTGTAAAGAGATTTACCAGCTCATCAAATTTTTTATTTTCGTAAAATTTCTAATAAAACAAGGAACATTATAATACCATCCCAAGTGGCCAAATACATCGGTGCCGTTTATGCCAAAAGAAAATTATTGTAGTTTAAGAGCATATGTTTAAGGACTTGTAAAGCCACTCTGATGTGAAATAGCTTAAAAGGTGTATGAAGAATGTGGAATGATGTTATGCTCAGAAAATTACGGACGAACTCTGGTTAAACATAAAAAGCGACCGAAAAACGGGCACCTTCTGTCGGAAGGATGTCATCTTCTCTTTTCCGAGCAAGGAAGAAAAATATCAGTAACTGTAAAGACTTATGAACCAGCTCCTTCTATGACCCACCCTAATAAGGGAGCTAGTTTCAGTGGATTTCTTGTTGATAGCCAAGCGGCAATCTAGATAATTGAATGTGTTTAGACAAAATCTGTACGAAAAGCTAGCTAGCGCTGGAACAAACGTAAGTTGTACCACTAAGCTTCTTTATAATATCGTGAAATATATTATTTTTGTTGGTTGTCTTTGCGACCGCGTTAGCGGATTGAGATCTCATATCACTGGCAATGCAAGGTGGAAGCAAATAATGCTGTATAAAGAATCGAGCGAACTATACACTTACGAATAACTGTGCTATAAAAATGGAACACAACAAAAATATTCATGGCTTAAGTATGTCCGCCCGCAGTCTGATCCTTAACCCACTTCTTCCAACCAATATGTTTGAGTTCAAGAAAGGCAAAACTGCAAAAGATTCACAAAATCAAAATAGTTTAGATTTAAACATAATTTGTGCAAGAGTTGGCAACCATCTGAACTTTTTAACGCAAATGATGCACACGTAAATGACAAATAAGGAATGTGAGATATTAAAACAAAATATTTATGAAAGAGTTAAATTTTATACCCAGCGCAATGATTTCCATTAGTTTCGCGCATTAAGGGAGTAAAATAATTTAAATATGTTAATTAATGGAATTATTTATATAAACTCCCTACCTAACTACTGTACGTGCGCTTATACCGAGAAATAAATATATATGTACGTTCATATATGTCTATTTATTTATTAATTATTCCGATTTGTATTTATTTTCCAATGAAAGCCTTCAATAGGTCATTTTTGTTTGCTTTTTTAATTTAATCGCTATTCAAGCGCTGCCTTTGTCGTAACTGCTCCAAAATTGACTTTAAGTGAAATAGTTGATCATCTTCCGTCCGGTTTTGCCAATTGGCATAGTTTAGTAAATATGTGTGTACATATATATAAACTTATAAATACTGAAGCATAAACATATATATGTATATATATGTATATATATATTTTTTTTTTTTGTTAACATCTGCATATATTCTTATGCAAATAAAAAAATTTACTATTCAACAGCAACTAAATGACCGCACATTGATTTTTTATTGTTATTCTCAAGTCATCATTAGTGTTGATGATGTATATATTCTTTTATTATGAGTCCACCACAACCGCAGCAGCGTCAAAAACCACACCCTCCACCACCACCATAACATACTGTCATCGTAAACAGATGACTGATCGCAAAGTGGCGGTGCGGAATGGGGTTTCGAAAAACGTGTGTCTGTTATGATTTCTTAAATTGTATTCTTTCTTTTTTTGTAAACGGCGTCTAATAGTCGCAAATATTCATAGCTACACTTTCATATTGCTAAAAAAAAACTGATATAAAGGGTTTTCCAATAAGAGGTGTTATCTAGTCCGAAACATGTCACTTTTAAGCGTTTATTTGATAAATTAAAACTAAACCAAATATAAAAATGGATCGATACACGCTTCAAAAATGCATTGATATTATTAAATTTCACTACAAAAATTTCAGTGAAATATCATCTTGACTGATAGGACCCATTTCCACCTCAATGGCTACGTCAATAACTCGGAGCTGTTTGGTGCGGATTATGGTCCGGAGCAAGAGTTTAGGTGAATGGTTTGTGTTATCCAGTGATAATTACTGATTTTTTAGGGCCGAAATCGGATGATATTGTTCTGGACAACGTTTACTTTCAACAAGTCGGCGCCACGTGCCACATAAACAATGAGACCACCGGAACGTCTTCTGCATCGTGTTATCCCTCGCAGAGTTGATCGCAATTGACCACAGAGATCTTATGATTTAATACCTTGCGGCTTCCTCTTTTATGGCCACGTGAAAGATAAGGTCTACGCCAACAGGCCAACGTCAATTTTAGACCTCAAAGCTGGAACGAAATCTATTGAGGGCATTCACTTTGCGATTTGGTGATAGAAAGTTTCAAAAAAAAAGGACACGGCTTTGTAAGCTTAGCAGCTGCGACATTTTGGCTGTTATTGTTTTCCATTATTAGTGGCATATCTACTTCTCGCCTTACATTGAAATTTAAAACGTCATTTTTCTTTACGTATTGGAAACCCCTTTTACATACTAAAGTCGCACAAAACTGTTCAATGACTCGCTTTTGTGAAGAACTGAAACAGTTTTTTAGCTTTCTTATGATTTTTGCAAGTTTTTTTCTAAAAACATACATAAGCACTTCAGAAGCACACAACTCTCTAAACATAATACAAACGAAAAGGTAAATAAATTACATAGACATTCACATTGTTTTGTAGTGGAATAAATTGTTATTATAAATGCTAATTGATTGGTCAACAGCATTCATACAAAATTATGTGTTAATTAATTTCCAAAGAGTTTTCGAGCCGGCAAAATTCAATCTCTACTTGGCAATAAACACAACTCTGTACGCGCATGCATGCATATAGATGAATGTAGATATATGTATTGTACATACATACATATATACAATATGAAATATATGTAATTATAGTCGTATAAAATGTACATATGTAAATGTGAATCATTAAAGTGCGAAATGTAAAAGTACACTTAAAACTTTAATTGCTTTCCAGTGCATAAGTGAATTGTTTTGTATTTTTTTAACTACAATAGAATTTATTTAAACTTGCTTAATGCATTAAATACTTCTGACTGAATAGTTAATGGACAAAAATAGTTCAATTCACTATTAACTTACAGTCGACTCATTTATTGTGCTAATTGTAATCATTAATTGAATTAGTCAACTACTACTTTGTTATAATTAATTGTTACTCTTCAATAGTAAATTATAAACTTTTCCGGTATAGCATAAATAGTGAGACTAAGTTGAAATATATGTACATATATATATATATATGTACATATATATATATGTATATATATATATATATATATATATATATAATTGGATTTTTTTAACCGCTGAAGCAATTTTCCGCCGAGTTCCTCCTTCAATTTGTGGTTTTGCATCTTGATGTTTTTTCCAACAAATGGAAGGACCTACAGTTTATACTCAGCCGCCTCCGAACGGCTGATGTTTTTCTTATGAGAAGCTTTATTTCATGTCAGAAATAAACTCGGAAGAGTTGACATTCCCTGCCGAGGGGCAACCGAAGTTAGAAAATTTAACTTTAATTTTTTATTTAAATTATTTTTCTATAACTTTCGGATTTTGGTCGCACGGTGATTTTAACCCGAGGCTTCCGAATAGTAGTATTTTTTATTTTATGCGAATTAATAGTTAAATTGAGCTTGAAAATAAATCTCTTTCGCATCAACGTAAAAAGCATATATTTCGAAAGTATATTTATACACATTTAAACTAAAAAAAAAGAATACAAATTATACGCAAAATTGCTTTTCAAAATCATTGTCATTTGAAACTTTTGTAGAAGTGCGCCCAATTATATGTGAAAAATCTGAAATTTAGAAAAAAAAAAGCAAAAAGAAAAACACAAGAAGTTTTTACAAAGCAGTTAAATTTAAAATTGTTCCATAATAATATTATATATATAGGTGTTGCAACTGTCCGATTTCTATGAAATAATTTCCCTTCATGCTATAAAACAAAAGTCCCGTATGACATGACTCTTCTGAGAATGCTCTAATCATACTAATACATTATTTCAGATTTTATTTAAATATTGTAGTTCGCGGAAGAATTTGCTCAAAAAATTGTTTGTTCCATGGGAGTGTAACGCTTTTTTTTTTGATTTGTTGTTATGTAACTTGAAAAGGAATAGTTATCTGGTTTTAGGTTAGGTTGCAATGGCTACCGATCTGTAAAGTCAGATACATCTAAGCTTGACTTAGGCCCATTGTGATACCACAAAAACTTAAACTGTCAGATTTCATCCGCCATCCATTGTGATTCTCTAAGGAACCTCATTGGATCTATGAATTTGACGTCTGCTTTCTTCGAAAGACAATCCAATAGTAGGGCTCCAAAATTACGAAAAGTTGTCATGTTCAAAGCAGGACAGCCGCATAAGAGATGGGGGATCGTCTTCTCGTCTTCATCCTCCTTGCAGCTTCTGCAGCATCTTCTATGGGGAGCTCATAGTCTGCGTGGCGTCCAATCAGACAGTGGCCTGTCACAACTCCTATAACTTTGGAGATGCCAATTGGTGTTAAGGGGTACATAATAGTTAGCGAAATTGAAAATTTTTGGCTATAAAACAATGAACTTTATTTATGTTTTGAACAGAGTATTTTGTTTTACGACAAGGAAGTAGTAACAGCAGTTTCGAAGATCCCCACATCTCCTCAACAGAGTATCTATGGCTGGGATTGAACCAACAGATCCTGACTTAGCAGACAAGTGCTTTTACGGGAAGTACACATGTAGAACCGGGGTTAGCCGAATGTTTGGCATTGCGTACTGCCATTCGGAATGCTCCGGTTCAAATCTCCGTGCGACCAACATCCAAAAGTTATGGAAAACTTATTTAAATAAAAATTTAAGTTATTTTTACTAATTGCGGTCGCCGCTCGGGGTAATGTCAACCCCTCCGAGTGTATTTTCGGCATGGAATAAAGGGTCCTCATAAAAACCCCATCAGCCGTTCGGAGGCGGCTTAGTTCCTTCATATGTTGGAAAAACATGAAGACGCAAATCCACAAATTGGAGGAGGAGCTCAGCGGAAAATCGCTTCAGCGGTTACAAAGGGCCAATTATATTATATTATACATAGGCAGAATAACATAAAACCCGTTGGCGCACTATTAAGTAAATTGGCGGCTAAAAATGATGGTATATAATATATGTTGGTTAATAATGAATTGAATATTACAACAGATTACATGGCTGGTGTGGGTTCAGTGGAGGAGCTTGAGACATTATTATTATTATTTGCATTTAATATATATGTATGCAATTTCCTTCAAATCGACTTTCTCCTATTTTAATATTTACCTCAATTCTGTGTCAACTCAGTTTCTTATCTATCTTTCTGATTATACCTACAATATGTTGCTATTTATTTTATTTTCAAAAAATAATAATTTTATACGGTGTAGTCAAACCTTCTTTCCGGGGGATTTTTACGATTCAGTAGAAATTGCTTATTTGTGAAAAATAAATGTTAACGTGCTTACAGAGTAGATACAAATTATGACCGTCACTAAAACCATAATAATATGTGAAACGCCAAAAAATATATGTAGAGACAGTTTCACACACCGCCACATTAATAATATGTAAATGAATCCCAAAAGAAATAAGTAAGTAAATGGCAAAAAATTAATAAAATACAGAACAAACATGACACCAAACCAAATTAAATGAACTAAAAAAACCAAAAAATAAAATAAAAAGAGATGAAAAGAGAAGATTGAGAGTTCGACAGAACAAACATAATTTTTTTTTGTATTGTTTTTTTTTTTTTTTGCATCTCAATTTCTCAGTAGCAAAACAACATAAATATAAAAGTAAATTTTATAGCCGTTGGCACTATAGCATTCGGTATAGGTATAAATACAGGCGGCGTCTGCGCATTCGTTTGTGAGTCTCATTTGAGCCGGTCGATCGTGTGGACGTACATTACTCATTTAATAAATATATACATAGAAAATATAACATGGCGAAATTCTACCTCGTTGCATTGCTCTGCGCTGCCGCTTGTGCGCAGGTGAGTAAAAATTTTTTTGAAAGCGCATACAATGAAAAACAATATCTTCACTTTTGCTCTCTTAACAGCTGTCTTCTGCTGCCAACATTGCCGATGCCATCGATGCCGATCTCCGCGTCAACATCGAAGGTTACAATAAAATCCTCGCCACCGTCGATGAAGCACACAAAGCCAATCTCGAGAAGCTGATCGCACAGACCGAGGCTGCTCTTAAGGAGACCGACCACAAGGAGAAAACCAAAATTTTGGATGGCCTAAACGGCGCTTTCCCCGATGAATTCAATCAGTATTTGAACCGAAAATTACAAGAATTGAATATTGATGGTGAAGTACAACAGTCGCTCGACTTCTACAAAGCTCTGCTGGAAAATGCCGAATCGAATGAATTCAAGGCTGACATTGAAAAGGCCATAGCAACTTTGACCACCATTTCACAGGAAACTGTTGCCGCCAAAAAGGTGGAAAGCTACCTGCAATTTACCCAAGACCACCGTGCCAGTTTCCAAGAATTCTTGAAGAAACAAACTTTGCCACAAATCGAAAAATCTCTGAATGGTGCTATCAAATTCTTTGACGGTCTGCTCGCCGAGGCTGATATCAAACACAAGGACGAAATCGTTGCGCTAAAGGCACAAGCTGAAGGTGGTTTGGCTGCTGCCAGCCTGGAAGATAAGCAAAAGATCTACTACGAGATCACCAATCCTGAGAACAAGGAGCTTTACAACTACTTGAAAGAGAAATACATTGAAAAGCAATAAGTTGTTGATATTTTCGTCATGAGTTTTGTAAGAAATTATTTTATATACTAATGTAAATTTAATTTATTTTAATGTTGTTGAGAGTGTAGCGTTTTAACGGACTAGTGTAACGGCATTCGTGTGAAAATAAACAGTAATATAAAGGCATATTGCTAAAATGGAGAAAAAGAACTGATAGATTTTTTTTTGTTTTTATTCATAATTAGGTTTTATACACTTTTAGTAAAGCTACTTAATGCCTAATTAAACGACTCAAGACAGACGAGTCTTAATGCTTATTAAACAGATTTTCGAATAGCTCCGCTACTGGCAAATCAATTTTAATACTGATTTTTTATCGATTTTTTTTTATGTTGTGAAGCAAAAACTGGTTTATTCTCTCATATTTCTGGTGCGATTCTACAAATGTCTTCTCAGTTTAATCACTTAACCTCAATTTGACTTTGAGACCACATAAGTGTGGCTTTTAAATATTCAGGAAAAAAAAAACAAATAAAAAAGTGATCATTCATAAATTTCCATAACAATTTTTATATTTCTTTTCTGCTGATAATACTTAATTAATTTTTAATTTGCTCATTATACATTCTGGCAGTTTTACAAAATTTCTCCTCATGAATATTAATTTAGTTAGTACGTGAGTGTTCACACATGAGAGTTCCCTGAAGAAAATAAACAGCCAATTAACGGCTGTAGGTATGCAGGATTGCACAGCAACTCATTAAACACACTAGCGCAAATTAAGTAAGATAGCGGCCAAATTGGCGCCCTTAAGAGTTCTTAGTTTATAATGAATTGACTAATGCAAAAACAGAACACATGGCTGATATTGTCCCAGTGGATAGAGTACTCGACTGATAAGTCAGGTTGACTCGATTACTGATATAATTGATGAAAGTAGCGTACTATGTCACCAAGGTCTGTAACGCCGCCTTTGAGGTCTCACACCCTCTACCTACTCGATCAGAAACGAAAAGACCTAAATGATGGAATAATGAATCTCTGAGCTAAGAAAAGTAGACGAACAATCTTTGACGAAGCCAAAATAACAGGCACCTGGCAATCTTACAAAGCTTGCCTAAAATCTTTTAAAGTCACTATCACGAAAGCATAACGAGCATCTTTTTTTAAGACCTTCTGCTGTGTCATTAGCCCATTAAATCCCAACAATATATAAAACCTTTTTTGTTTTTATTCATTTATAAGGCGATCATTATAATGATGAAAGTGGCGCTCTCTTAAAAATTTTAAGAAGTGTCCATTTGGACCTGTACCCAAGCGTGTACAATAGGATAATGAGGGGTATCTATATATAGTTTCCTAATATAAAAAAATTTTAATTGGTTCTTTGATCATTATTAGTATGATAATTTTTGAAATATTATCTCTCTACGCAAAGATCTATTTAACATAGCTCACAAATCCACTCTCCGCACACCTGAGCTGGGGCGGGATTTGTTTTGGTAAATGGTTAGATGAAGAGTCCCGGTTCGAATAACATCCAAAACTAGAGAAAATTGATTTTTGTAATTGCGGCGGGCCCTTAGCAGAGAGAGTCTAGCTCTCAGAGAGTATTTCTGAAATGAAATAAAATCTCTTCATAATAATTGAAGACGGGTCAGAATAAATTGAAGGTCGCTCCAAATCAAAAATCGGCGGACGAGCTCGCCCGAATATCGCTTCAGTGGCTACAAAGTACCAATTATAAAGAAGTAAAATGGCACAATATTATTATGAAATTTGAGTAACCTTTTACTTTTGTAGAGTTTACATGCGTTGACTAAGCATGAAATTGCCTTTGATGCGAAAAAAGACCACCATTATTTCTTTTCCCGAAACAAAATATTGGTCGAGTTGATTAGACAATTACACCCATTCCTGAGTTGTATTCTGCGATTAACTTTGTATTCACCTTATGTCCTTTCCCTCTTGACCATCGTTAGACGGTGTGAAACGCTTCTATTATCTGAAAGTATGTTTCCTCGGTCATAACGCTATTGTCATTCCATTAGACGAAACTAATTTCAGAATCTGCATATCTATAATACAACTATCATACAGAATTACAAACTGCATAACTTTTTTTCATACGATTGATTGCATAATTTCATCTATGATTAAACTCTAGCCGTTGTCCCTTTGTAGTAGTTTTTATTTTATGTCCGTCGTTCACGAATAGTTCCAGTTGTCTTAAAACATTTTTTTCAAATCTCAGGAGAACATAATATGTAAAAAAAATATCGCAAAACACGACGTGATCTATATGAACCGTAAAAGTTTCGACCTTAAATATATAAATATCCACAGCTACTAGAAAACATCCAGTTTTTATATCCGCTTTGAACTGGCTTTCCTCTAATAGATCGTTTATTGAAATGTCTGCCAAAATACCTAACCAAAGACTCGTAATTTGAATGATTTTGGTACGTAACGCAGAAGGTAAAAGGCTTAGGAAAGTTCTATCCGAGGGCTCCACTATCCCAAATTACATTTGGAAGACAGATGGTGAATGGACAACATATTGTGGTCTAATGCTGAATATCCTGATGAGTACCTGTTTCCAGAATGTTCTATAGACTACGAACAACTTTGATATTAGCCACATTGCATGTCGCGGAAGGATGAAGTGGGCGATAAAATCATTGCAACTCCTTAAATCTCCAGAGCTAGATGGTATCTTCCCCGCTTAACTTCAGAGGACTTCGGACATCTTAACCCCATTTCTATGTAAAATTTACAAAGTATGTATACGTGACGAGTACTTTCCCGGCTTGGGCTAGAACCATGTTTATCCCAAAGGGAGACAGACCTAAGTAAGTCAGTCCAAAAGACTTTCGTCCCATTAGCCCAACCTCTTTTATCTAAAAAATCTTTTACATATTTACACATTTAGTCGGGTGCTTAGAAAAAGCGCTTGTCTTGAAGGAAAACAACATTATTCCTGAATTCGTAAGAACAGCCCATAATAAGTCTTATAGGGTCTGTTTCAAAATATGTGACCATTTCCGTAGGCAACGCTTATATCACCAGACAAACCACAAAATACATCTCTAAAGGAGGAGTTTTATTGTCACTGCTACGGCGTCTAACAGCAAATACTTTTATTANGAGACAGACCTAAGTAAGTCAGTCCAAAAGGCTTTCGTCCCATTAGCCCAACCTCTTTTATCTAAAAAATCTTTAACATATTTACACATTTAGTCGGGTGCTTAGAAAAAGCGCTTGTCTTGAAGGAAAACAACATTATTCCTGAATTCGTAAGAACAGCCCATAATAAGTCTTATAGGGTCTGTTTCAAAATATGTGACCATTTCCGCAGGCAGCGCTTATATCACCAGACAAACCACAAAATACATCTCTAAAGGAGGAGTTTTATTGTCACTGCTACGGCGTCTAACAGCAAATACTTTTATTAGAAAAATGATTAGCACAGGCTGCTTTATGATGGCATACGCGGACTACTTTGCCCTAGTAGCGAAAATCAAAAAACAAACAAAATTTAAGCGATCTATTCTAAAATGCTCTTTACATAGTTGGAATCAGATGCAGGGGCAGCGTACTGGAAAAAAACCGAAAAACCTCCTCCTTTTAAGTTCTCTCTTCCGAAGTCAAACAAGAACAGAGAGCTGGATATTAACCCACAAATAACTGCAAAGCCCCCTCCTTTTAAGTCCTCTCCACCTTGCTCTCAAGACCAGGATGCAATTTTTTGTTATCGGATTATGCAAATGTACATATTTACATTGACGGTAGAAAGTGAAGTGAAATTTCGGTACTCACCGGTTGATGCATTTCCGCTGCTGAAAGCGCACACCACCACCGCAGCTGCGTGAACACTCACTCCACTTGCTCCAATTACCCCAACGCGGATAAGCACGCTGGCGAGTTGTGGAATGTGGTCGCTTTGTACTTGGTATAACTGAATTTTCGCTTGTCGCCTGCTCGGAAACTTTGTCAACAAGCAACCTGTTGCTCGGGTTGCTGCTGTTGGGTGATTCAGTTGTTGTTTTAATTGTTATCCCAGCCTCATTTATTGGTTTGGTCGCACTGAATTTAGGTGCCGCTGCCACAATTCCATTATTTATAACAGGCACTTCAGGTACAGCCGCACTCTGAGCTGTTGCAGTGGGGACCATTGGAGTTTTGTCAGTCGTCGTCACTTTTGGTGCCTCGGTTGTTGTTTGCTGTACCGCGGATGACATTGTGTTGGTGACTGCCGTTGTAGTGGGCGTGACAGACAATATCGTTTGGTCTTCCATGCGCGCTGTAGTTGCTGCTGGCGTTGTTTCCAATACATTTGCTGTTGTCACAAGCGCTGAAGCAGCCATAGCGGCTGCTGTTGTTGATGATTCCTTATGTTCTTGTTGTATTTGTTTTTCCTGTTCAGTCTTAGTAAGAATTTCACTCTCTGGATAAACCTCATTCGCACTAGATTCTTGGTCGGGCACCGCACTTTGTTTAGGAAAGCGCCACAGATTGGCCACTTCATGATTGGATTTTGAATAATTCTCAGCAATTGCAAAACGATTAATTCTCTGTTGATTTCGTTGTTTAAGCCATTCTTGGTGTTTCTGGAGGAAAAAGGAGAATGAAGAAATGTTAAGTTTAAGTAGTGCATAACTTACAACAACAGTTCGGACGGCAGAAATTATAGCAGCGAATTGGATCCGAGCTTGGGTTGCCTTCAGGTTTGCCGCTTTCACTTATTGCCCGAAATAAAATCTACAACTTCTACCGTCCAAAGTGTTGTTGTAATTTTTTCACTATATCAATTAAATAACCAAAGATTATTGCAATTTTAATATGAAATAATATTAAGTAATTTTTGGCTTTATTAAATCATGAATCGTCTTACAAACGAGCAACGATTGCAAGTTATTGAATTTCGTTATCAAAATGCGTGGTCTGTTAAGAAACATCGCCTGCTCATTTGTGGCTTAATAGGTGCGCAAATAAGTAGAATTGTCGATTTTAGAGTGAAGATCAGCCAGAAGCATTGCAAAAGCTACCAATGCATCCACAGTTGGGTTCGGTTTATGAGCTAGTGGCATCATTGAACCGTACTTCTTCAAAGTAACTTTGCCCAAAATACAAGAGCTTCACTTGCATGGCATGTGGTTTCAACAAGACGGTAACAATGGACTTATTGAGAGGCGAGTTCAGAGAACATTTTATTTCACGTTCGGGACCGGTAAATAGGCCACCTAGATCGTGCAGTTTAACGCCTTTAGACTATTTTTTGTGGGGCTGTATTAAATCTGATGTCTATACAGACAAGCCCGCTTCAATTGATGCATTGGAGGACAACATTGAAGCGTTTATTCGAGAGATACCGGACGAAATGTTGGAAAGAGTATGCCAAACTTGGACTAAGCGGATAGACCATTTGAGGCGCAGTCACGGTCGACATTTGCATGAAATAATCCTCAAACATTAATTTATATGGACCGTACTATCGATTCAAATAAAGATTTCATGCATTTTTGTGAATTTAAAGTGTTTTTTTTTAAACTTTCCTATATATATCTATTAGCAGGAGAGATAAATGAGTTTGATATTAGCAGAGGAACGTCTCGTTTAAAATTAGAAAGAATTTTCATTTGCTGACATTTTCTTTGATGTTATTTTGCACGCCTCATCATTCGATATTCTAAGCTTACTCACGCACATAGATCGACTGAGCGATAAACGGAAGCACGTTTAGTAACCCAAACAAGACACAAAAAAATTTGTAGAACAAAAAAGCAAAAAAAAAAGTAAATGACAATATAAAATTACAACTAATGCACAAATATACAGCGAATATTTACACATACATACATAGTACGTACATATTCAAGGCAAACAATTTCGGATGAGCTAATGCTTTGGTAATCAGCGATTTAAAGGGTTTGGCGTTCAGTACAACGAGGTTGTGTTGTCAATGATTATCGAAAAAAAATTTGGAACAAATTTGATGGATCATTGAATGTTGTGACGGAATGTAACACACACACACTCACTTATACTCATACGTATCGACACGATGATGACACGCTTTTCGTAGCTCCCATATCATTTGCTTTAGAACATTGTTGTACTAGTTGTTGTAAATATTTGTGAAGGTCAATTGACTTGTAAATTACTTGTTGCTCGACTTATCTCACATTTATATAATTTTAGCCACAAATTGATTTGCATTTTTTTTTTTTTTTTTGAATTTTTTTTTATATATCATTTAATTGTTGTTATTTTTTTTTATTAAAATTGTTGTAATTTTTTGTGTGCTTAGGCTTAAACTTGAGTGAAAAATCATGCTGTTCATTGACACACCCATGGGAAACGTTCGGATAAATTCGGCTATAGCGGGTTTGTTTCACAGTTCACAAATTTTTTGGGCCAATGAAAATGCAACTACACACACACATATGTACATATATATATTTTAAATTATACTTATGAAGATACTTTGAACAGAATGGTAAGAATTCTTTTGGGCTTCATTAGCTTTATAGGAGAAGGTCAATTGTCAGAAGTATAACCGCAATTGCCAAGTGTTTATGACACCATAAAATTACCGCAAAATATATATGTATACGATATATTATATATAGTTTTTGGCGTAATTAAGACAGTTAACTTAATTAAAATTGCATAACTTATTGTCGATATTACGATTGAATCTACTTTTAATTGTATTGAATTATACTCTTCTTCTTCGTCTCATTTACGGGCCTAGACACCGCTTACGCGATTTTAGCTGAGTAAACAACAGCGCGCGATTCATGCCTGCATTTTGTTGTTTGCCGCCAATTAGAAATACCAAGTACTGCGAGATCCTTCTCCACCTGGTCTTTCCAATGGGTTGGAGGTTTTCCTCTTCCTTTGTAGCTGGAGTATTCATATCCATCCGGACCACATAACCTCGACAGTGTAGCCCCAGTCCCTTGATTCACTGAACTATGTCAATGTCGCCACACCCAACGTTTCATCGGCTACGAAAATATGGCGCATGGTGAATATCTTGTGAACGGTAGGTTTACTAGGTCTAAAGCCGCACTGATAAGGTCCAATCAGCTTGTTGACGATAAGCTTGAGTCTTTTCCACAACATGCTCGAGCCTTTTATGGTATATTAAGGAGAATTACTCCACGGTAATTGGTTCAGCCCGTGTGATTCCCTTATTTGTATATTGGACAGAGTATATTCAGGTTCCAATCATCGGGCATGCTTTCATCCGACAATATTTTACAAAGACGGTGATGGCCTGCACCTTATCGGCTCTTCACTAACGCTTTTGAATTGTTCTGGCGAAAATCCATCTGCTTCCGCCACACTTTGTTGTTTTTCAAGCGTTTAATTGTTACTTGGGCAAAGATATATTGGTTCCATTGTCATATATTGGGCAATCGTTCTAGCCATCTCCTGGTGCTATACTAAAATTAAGTTACTACAATAAATTACCACTCTGTGTTCTATGGTAGTTTCCTCCGGTCATGAAACCTTCTGTAAATCGACGTATATTACATAATAAGAATCCGGATCGTTCGTCTATAAAGAATCGTTCCTGTATAAAGACCCGACTATCGAGGAAACTTTTGCTTTTTAGTCGCCCCTTACCCCATGCAGGGTTTACCGCGGGAAAACTTTTGGACCCCACCCCGCAAGGCCGCCTTCCAATTCTTGTTTGCACAAGAAATGTCATAAATATGTTGAGAGTCAAAATATTGGGGTTATATTTCGTCATCTCTTCAATTATCTATTATAGAATGAACAAAACAAAATTGGATTGTTCATCAATGTATGTCTCTGTGTATCTACATTGGATCCAAATACTCGGAATATTTTTAATGTACATAAAATCATATGCATATGTACCTACATATGTATGTATGTGTACATATATTTTAATTAATTAATATACATATGGACTTAAGGTAGATAATTTTAACGAAACTCATTTTTAATTCGTCTACGTCTACTACGTCTCAAGTTAACTGCCTAAAAATATGTGAATAATTATTGAGTAGACAAGCAAGCTCTTTGGAGTTTACAGCCCTTCTTACGTTTAAATCCACAGCGTGTTTTGTGTTAAAGAAGGCGCAATGTTAAAAGCATAAGCATAGAAACATACAATCAGAATATGAAGATTACGTAATTGATTAAAAAAGGCAAAGTTGGAAAAAATTTGTTGAGTAAAAACTTAGACTTTATTGCTAAACATCTTTACTTTTTTATCCAAATAATATTTAAATTACTTTCTTTTAAACTTACTTTCTTGTTGATTTTTTCATTTGTTTTTTTTTTTTTTTTTTTTTTCGGATTCAAAGTTCTTTTAACCCTAATTGTTTTGAAAGCAAAATTTCAGACGTTGAGATTAAAATTTCAAACAACTAGCATCTCCGATATATTTTTTCTTTGCATCATGTAAGAAGCACATTATAATATTTAATATATTTCATTCCTTTAATTGAACACAAATTTTTAAGGCTGCAGTTGCTTTCAAAAATATAACTCTTATGTTCATAGATAATCCTTTTCATATATTTTCAGTTACAATATCAAAAACCGAGGTTTCATGTATACCATTATTTTTTAACTCAAAAGTTCTCAAAGGTGTGGCAAATTTCAAACAATTTTTATTTTCTTCACACATTTTGTCGTTAAACTAACTCCCTCAATTTCATTTTAAATAATTGCAGAAAAACAAATTGCAGTTTGTGATTGCACTCATTTATCTGTAATTGAATTTCTGAAATTAAATTTCCCATTTTTTGTGTTGTATCAGCAATTTTTATGGGATTCACTCAAAGGATTTGAATAATGTCGGTTGCGAAATATGTCGATTACCAAATAATGAAATTCANTCATGTATACCATTATTTTTTAACTCAAAAGTTCTCAAAGGTGTGGCAAATTTCAAACAATTTTTATTTTCTTCACACATTTTGTCGTTAAACTAGTTCCCTCAATTTAATTTTAAATCATTGCAGAAGAACAAATTGCCGTCATTTATCTGTAATTGAATTTCTGAAATTAAATTTCCCATTTTTTGTGTTTTAACAGCAATTTTTATGGGATTCACTCAAAGGATTTGAATAATGTCGGTTGCGAAATATGTCGATTACCAAATAATGAAATTCAATTTCTAAAAAGCTGTTTGTACTGCGTAAGGCTGTACTTGAAATTACTTTCTTTTTAAATAAATAAAATGCAATTAGATATAAATTTATTACTGCGCCTGACGTACCTCAAAAATTGCGACTTTAAATCCCGGTAAATTAAATAATGTAATTTTTTCCTTTAGCCTTAACCAACGTTGTTGGTATTAATACTGTAACTACTCATCGTACATACCATCCATCCATATCTCCCTATCTTATGAGACCGCCCTGTAAATGAAAAGTTATCACCGCTTGCCGATGNTACAGACGGGTTTTATGGGTGTGTGGTATGTAAGAAGGGTAGTTGCAACATAAGTTATTCCGTAATGTTTTTTCATCTGGTAGCAAATAGCCGCATTTACGGGGGGTTTTAATATACGCGGAGACGGGCTGATCCATATCAATCGAAATTTCACGCAGCATGTGACTGATAATTATATCACAGCACCATGAATTTCCCTGCCACAAATGAGTGAGGAGAACTTTGAGACCTATTTCTAAGCATTTTTTTTGTTTGAGGCCAATCACTGATGCTGCGGCAATATCAATTTCAGCTATACTGAGCAAGCAGTCAGTAATGGCGCTTGCGAATGGTACTTCAACACACGCCACTTGCGCCTTTAGTCCTTAGTGAGCGCTTTAGTGAAATGACGCGTGTTTCTGGCACCACATTTGACGGAAACCACCGTATATACAATCATCTGTAATTGCCGCCTTCAGTCAAGGTCACCTTCTTGAACAAACAGAGAACGATACAACGAGACACATGCTTCGGAAAATTGTTGTAGGTATCATCGAAAATTTGACGACAAGGTGACAAAAAGTCATTAGCAGAACGTTTTTTCCAAAGGCCCTTATATCAGTAACCTGAGGCCACCAAGAACTACCAACTTCGTACATTTGATTTATCTTCGAAAATTAATTTTCTAATTGATAGTGGTTCTGATGTACCACTAAGACTTTCCAGGCGAAGGCAGCTAGAACGATTAACTTCCAGTTTAATTTGCTTACGACAAATCGTTGCTCTATTAAAGTATACTTGCGTGGTGAGGTATTTTTAAAAATAAATCCAAAATTACCATACCATTAGTTGCGTAGATTTTTTAAACAATTCCGGGTTTTTAGTGAACCTCAAAATCAATAGATGCTTACGCGATAGTAGGACAGATTTAAAATAAATTTGTGCGATTCAAAAAACACTTGAATAAAAGTAAAAAATAGTGGCTCTGGTTCCAGTTCGTATAACACTGTCACAACTAGGATATATGCACATATATTTTATGAGAGAAAAGGAAATATGAAATATGCCCGAGCACTTCTCTCTCTCTCCTTTAGCTTGTCTCATACTTATACGACACATACTGAAAGTAAAATTTTTTAATCACGTCTTTTTTGATAAATTAAATATTTTATTACTTTTTTATGAAAATTATGAATTTAATTAATGTTAGTTTTAAGAGATAACTTTTCTATTTTTTTTTTTTTTGGTATGCGCCGATGTTGCCCTAATGAGTTTTTTGTGAACTGGCTTTTTAAAAACAGTTCTTAATAGTTTCTACCATTACAACGTATGCAGATGAACATCCAATAAAATAAACAGCCTCCAAAATGGCAAAATTTGTAAGTTTCCCCATTGGAATGTCTCCTAACCTTGTCAATATATGTTTAATAATGTTGTATCTATAATCACATTTAATATTTCGTAAAAGGTGATTTCTTAGCTATTATCTTTTTGGCAACACTTGTTTAAACAGCTGACGCCCATTCGGGCTTTGTATCACTGTCAAACATCTTCAGTTTGGTCTATAATTCAACCATGAATAGTCTTACGAACGAACAACGCTGACAAATTACTGAATTTTGTTATCAAAATGCGTGCTCTGTTAAGAAACATCATCGCCCGCTTCTTCCGCGCAAGCTTGGAAGCTCATTTTTTGCTTGATGGTTGCGTAAATAAGCAGAATCGTCTATTTTGGAGTCAAAATCAGTCAGAAGCATTGCCAGAGTTACCAATACATCAAGAAAAAGTCAAAGTTTGGTGCGGTTTATGGGCGAGGCATCATTGGACCGTACTTCTTCAAAGATGATGCGAATTGTAACGTAACTGTGAATGGAGAGCGCTACCGTGAGATAATATGAAACTTTTTTTTGCCCAAAATACAAGAGCTTGACTTACATGATATGTGGTTTCCACAAGACGGTGCCGCATGCCACACAGCTCGTGTAACAATGGACTTATTGAGAGACGAGTTCGGTGAACATTTATTTCAAATTCGGAACCGGTCGGGGCAAATGGATGTTGCATTAGCAGGTAAAAATATATTCTTTATGTTATCTAGCTTAATATATCCAGAGTGAGTAGTAGTATTGCCAATAAAATTAGAGTTTCTTTTAGAGTTTTGCGTCCGTTTCGAGAGGTTTTGAAAACATAAAAATAGAAAAAAGTGTCCGCGTCTGGTTATTAGAAAAGAATTTGTTCTGAGAACGTAATAAAGAACATGCTTCTCTAGCTCTTGTCCGGTTATAAAAAGTGGCCGCTTATTGGAGCGGACCGCAAGTAGGGACTACACTGTACATATAAAATGAAAGGGGTGGGGGGGAAAGAAAAAAAATGAGAAAAACTACGCACTCGCACACTCCAATAGTACATACATGGATCTACTCTCTGCTTCAAAGGTTTACCTCAAGGATAATGTGGGACAAACGAAAATCCCCACGAAAGTGTCTCGAAAAGTAGGGCTGATCAGAGTAACTCCCTTTGTCTTTCTGTTTTTACCAACGTAAAGCTCTCCTCTCTACTTCCGTTCGCCTTGCTCAATCGCAATTTACGTAACATTTCCGTAACACATTCATCAGTTAAGTTCTCAAATACAGGGTGGATTAAGAAGTTATACTTCAACAATTTTATTAGCTGCTTATTTTACTGGCGATGATCCCTCATAACGTAGAAATGCCAGGTGGTGCAGTTTTCGGGATATTCAAAACTAACAGGTAAACTGTAATAATTTAAACAACTAAAAACTTACTCGTATTCGCTCCACAGTTGAGATATCTGCCACAACCAAGCTGATCATCAATATCGAAAGAAAACATAACCTGAAAAAAGTAAATAACGAAATATTTATTTTTTGTAGGTTTAAAAAAATTAAGAGCAATTTTTTATTCGGGAAAATCAAAAAAAAAATTTCTTAATATGGAAATCCCTTTTATTAATCTTTATACAAATGTGGTTTTGGAAATAAAAAAGTGAAATTTTTTAAATTCAATTTTTTTTAATTCAACGCGATTATTCAGATTAAAGCAAAAATAGTAATAGTAATATCAGTCGCGTTGGTTATTAATGAGAATTTTTCAATCTTAATGGATTATGATCTACATTTACACATTTTAAAAATTGGAATCTGCCATAAAGAGGCGTCCAAATGATGACCAGAAAGCGGCACTATTGAGCAAGCAATCATACTGAAATCATTTAAGCTCATTTTTCCATAAATATTTATATATACATACATACATACATATATTTTACAAATCATGCGTATTTGTAATGCATAAGTGCGAACATGAACACTAGAAGCTGATTTGGAGGCGTTCAATCACAGCATCTAAATGGACTGCAAAATCATCATAAACAAACGGCTAGAGACAAAGGAATTGCAGTAAAAATAACAATGTCTTTATGAATGCAAATGTGCATGGAATGTATCAATGAAAACTTACAGTGAAGAGTCAGAATGAGTATGCAGCGATCTTGATAGAAATAGAAGAAGAAGTCACTAGAAAAAACACTGCAAAATTTCATAAAAAAATTTAAAAAAACTCACTTTTTTGTTGCATGGATTTGATGTATATTTTTAATAATTTGAGATCTCCGATTGTAAATGTAACTTTTTCTGAAGAAAATTTAGTTTTTTTAGATACTAGTGTCAGATATGTTTTTGTACTCTTCACCTTTATTTTTAAAAACAAACGAGCTGTTTTCTCATTTTTTTTAATATCAACGTCCAAAAAGATCTGCGAAAATTATACCAATTATCTCTTTTTTTAATATACATTCAGAGTTTACAAAAAATATGTATTTCTATGACTTTAGATTTCCTTTCGGCACCCAAGACAAGTACTGGGTCCCTCATATGACTCATATGAGCGCTTTGTAACATTTGCAGTAATTTTCGGTAATTATTAATTTAATTTAATTTTTGTATTGGTATTAACACATTTGAGATTATTAAAAATGAAATGTCTTCGGCAAAAATAGCTTTTTTAGCGATAGAAGGATTCGGAGAAATAATCCAGAAAATAAAGCGCAAAATTTTAATGGATAAGAGCAATCCGCTGGAGCTACCAGAGTCGATGTAAGTGAAATTTGCATTCTACTTTTACATTTGCTGATACAAAATTTTTGTACGAGTATAAAGATTCATAGAACAATATCGTCTTAACAAAGAAGCCTCTGTACTAGTGCTGGATGCCATTGAATACCAGTTAGATAGACTGTCTGTCCCACAGAACAGAAGGCAGAAGGCTCCTATTAACAGTCTCTAAGGTTATAACAGAAATGCTAAAGGCTTTTGAACGTTTGAATTGTCCACGCTGTATAATTTTAGGATTGAACAACAAAGGAAAACGGGAAGGTCGCGACCATTTTCACATCTTGTACCGTGTTCCAGGCATTGCTGGTTGTTCATGACTTACATTTCCGCTTACAAAGAAATTTGCACACAATTCACTCAACGAATAACTGATCGGTTTAATTCTGATATTTAAGCCAATAAATCGGTTTCTCTAACACCTAAAATCGACACAAATTCTGTTTCGAAAATGAAACCGATATGCAAATCAATAATCGGAATGTGTAACCCTTTTAACAGAATTTTGTCGGTTTCAATTCTGAGTCTGACCACAATATGTTTCTGTAACACCCCTAATTTATTTTGGCCCACAACCCTTTAACCAAGAAAACCTCAATAAACTAAGAGGCTAGGTTTTTCCAAAACATCTTCGGAGATTCGAACTTCTCAATCAAGTAAAGAAATCTTTTAACGTCAAAAACAAGATGTTCATTGTGGTTTGTTGAAAGCTATGGGAGTATAAGGAGAAAGAGTAGTAACTATATTTGGGCACACTGGGTAAGAAAATGAATCCCTTGTGACCAGAGATCGTGATAGCTTCAAATACTTCTCAAAAAACTTAATTTAAGCGCAAAGGAACTTAAAGCCAATATTGTCGGGGGTCCAGATATAAGAAAATTGATAAAGGATCAAAATTTTGATTGTTACATGACAGGTAGTGAAAAAAACCGCCTGAAATAAATTAGTTTGGATTTCAGAAAATTTTCTGGGAAACAAGAAACAAATTGAACTGATGTCGTCCCAATTACAGCAGCTTGGTTAGCGGTTTAAGATCAAGTTATACTTCTTTCACTGTCATTCGCATCATTCCTGAAGATCTTGCCCAGTTGAGTGAAGACCAGGGGAGCGGTTCAATCAAAACATTCGAAGTATAAACCAGGGACACTGAAATGCTCACATAGTTCACATAGTTCGATAAGTAATGGTTGAATTTCTATTGCTACCTAAAATAGATAGGTGAAATTACTGTTACTAAATATTGTAAAGTTTCATTTAAAAAAGTCATTTTTTTTTTAAATGAACAAATATCTGAGATAAGTTTGAAATATGTATGAAAAATTCAAATTTACAAACTAATAAAAATATTTAGCTCAAAAAGCATGAAAAATGAAAAGAAATTTCTTTTCATATGAAAATCATAATGTTTATTCTGAGTGAAGCATTCCAAATATTCTGCTGCACAGAAATGAAAATGTTGCAATGCAAATTGAATTGAATAAGTGAATTGAAGTAATGAAGTGTTGAAATGTTGAAATGTGTAAGAATTTTTCTAAATGTTTTCCATTCGCTTGTTCTTATTTTTTCGTCAGTTTTCAAGAAATGATCTTGGTGATGTCAATTTGTTAAGAGTGAAGTGGGCTAATTGCCATGAGTGTATAACATAAAAGCAATATATCACCATATATTTCATTGTCAATATTATGTTCCCCCAATTGATGATCTGCTTTGAAAAAAATATGTAATATTTTTCATTTAATCGTTTGAGATTTTGTTTAACAGAATTATGAAAATCAAATAACTCTTAGAAGTGCAACAACGTCAGTGGTTGTTGTTTAAAATTAGATATCTGTTGTACATTTATGTACACACATCTGTTTAAATATTATTCAAATAGGTTGTTTATTTATTTTCACTTTTACGCAGGCATTCCACACAGATATTACGATGTTTGTTGTAAAATAATGGTTATGAATCTGTAATATCCTGCTCTGATTTTAAATGTTTAGAAATTTTGTTATATAACAAAAAATATTCAATTCATTCAAACAAACCAGGACTTTTGCTCACTAAGAACTTATGACAAAAATTATAATCATATCCGCAAAAAAAATTATGAAAAAAAATGTTTTCTTTCACAATATTTTTAAACTGTTCGTGAAAGAATATTTGAATCATTTTCATTTCGTTTATAAATTTATAAAAAAAAAAAACATAACAAAACGATTATCCTTCGTAACTTAATCATATATTACCTAGCATAAAATGTAGAATGAATCAACTCAGAAGGTCAGGGTTCGAGTGCTGGTTCGACCAACTTCCAAAAATTAAAGAAACTTAATTTAATTAAAACTTAAATTTAATTTTTCTAATCAGTATGTATATAGATGTTTTTAATTTCTTCTGATACAGTTAAAATCGTGAGATCTCTGATCTCTGTGTAGGGTGAATTGCAGCCTCATAACTAAATATCCATAAGACAAAAATAGTTTTATGTTAGTTGAGAATATAAGCAACTTATTTTGGATAGAACCAGTATAAATTTGTGACAGGCTCATAAATAAAATTGGCGTTTTGTAACTGCTGAAGCGATTTTTCGCCGAGCTCCTCCTCCAAATTTTGGTTTTGCGTCTTGGTGATTTTCCCACAAATGGCTGATTGTTTTTTTTTTATGAGGAGCTTTTAAATATGTGAGTTCTCCAAAAGTTCTTTCTACCGATATGTATGACAAGATATTTAATAATAATAATAAGCCCAACGACCCTCCACCCGCCCAACCAACAAAAGAGGTGACATCGCATAATATACGGAATCTGACGAGTCATGATTGGCAAGCGTTTGTTGAATGTCGAGATTTAAAACCTTTCAGCTACAAAAAAAGTATTTAATCAACAGCTATTTTAATATTTTAATTGCTGAGAGAAATAATAATAGTTTCTCTATGCTAAATAGCGTGTCTGTGAGATCTATGGGGCTGGAATGAAAATTAAAATTGTGACACACACATGAAACTTTTCACCTTTCATTCAATTCATAATTTGTTTTACATGACTATCAAAGTAACGGCCTAAATTGCCTAAAAGCGCGAGTTGTAGCATTAAAGTTTCAGACGAGAGGCATGAACTGCAAATTGATGCGTTAGGAAGTTTCACTACGAACAATTTTTCTACGACTTGCTAGAGTAGGTAGATTTAGAAGCTTTAAATGGTTGGTATAAAGAAGCAGAGTTCCATCGGAAATGTCTTACTGCAAAACTAAAAAAAAATTTTGAGCAGATTTTAATTGATAACTGGGGTTCCATATCAGTGAATCGTATTCTTATATACGCCTCACAAAAGTCATATTAAGTGGTTTAGTTACTTTAGGGTTTTTAAATTCTTTTGACCATCTGTCTTTTGAGACTGTGGTATTAATATGAAGGTGGAAGTTGAGCTCAGGGTCTGTCATATCTCTCACCTGTTCTAGACTATAGTTATTAATTATATAATGAGGAGGATGAACAAGTCTTGGCGAAAAGCACATGATCTTAGAATTATGAGCCTTGATAGACATGACATTGTTATCTGACCAAATAGATAAATTATCTAGATAGTTTTGTATCAAGCGTCTTTCGTCGAATGAAGTACACTGCATAAATAGCTTTACATGATCGGCATAACACAAGATATTTAAATATTTTATTTCGGAAGATATATCATCTAAATAACAGATATGTATTCGGGCCGAGATGGCGACCTTGAGGAACTCATGATAAGACATTAATTAATTGTGATAAAGTGTCTTTAAATGTTACATGTTGTGTTCTATTGCAGAGATACGATGAAATCTATTGAATAAATCTTGGTTGAAAGCACAAAAGATCTAGTTTATGGATGAGAAATGAGTATTTTTATAGTATGCTTTACTGAATGCGGTGTAGATGACGTCAGTTTGCTTATTATTATGTGACATAAATTGAACAAAATTTGTAACTGTGGATTTAACCTTGCAAACTCCATGTTGGGAATAAGGAAGTAGTGAAGAGATCGCAAACGTTATCTGACTAGTTATGATTGCCTCGAAAAGCTTAGGTATAGCGGATATTTTGGCAATACCTAAATAATTTTCAATATATTGAGGAAAATACTCATACAAATTATTTTCATAGGAGTATATGTAAAATTTGAGAGGCAGCCAGGTTTCTTTTTGGCTTCAGGGTAGCTAAGTTGGGCAGAGCATCTAAGGCTATAATAGCTGTTATATCAACGAAAGTTCATGGTAATTGTTCCTTCCACTACCTACCAATCAAATATGTAGAGAACATTTAACATGTAGTCCGTAATTACAGACGAATCTCTTAGCTGTTTTGTGACATTTGGAAATGCTAAGTGGCGCCAACCTGTTCCTTCCAAATGAGTAGAGCTATTCTCCTCGCGCTGTTTCTACCAGCGGGTACTGCATCGAAAAGCTTCAAAGTTGGAGTGTTGTCATCCATTCTGACGACATGACCTAACCAGCGCATCCCCTGTCTCATCCGTTGTCAATGTGAAAAAGACCATAAATCGGAGTCAAAACTTTTTCCTCGAAAACTCCCAATGCCGACCATCGGATATTGACATCAACCACGCTTCGGCTTTGTTTTGGTTTATATAGCCTACTAACTCCAGTTTAGTACCTATCGAGCAAAATTGTTCTGCGTCGAATTTCAAAAAATTATATACGATCTCGAAATTATGAATTTTGTGAGAGCCGAGTAGCGACTGCGTTGATATTTCGTCTTTTCCTCATCCTCAACAGTATCAAATTGAAGAGATCACAGTATAGTGAGCTACTCTGTCTGGAACCTGGCTAGTAATGAACGGCTCGGAGATGTCCCTCCTAGTTCTGATCGCGCTTCTGGTATTGTCCAGAGATTACTCAGTCGCATAAGTTTAGCGTGGTGATGTATATCAATTCTTTTCTTACGGGCCTTTTCAAAGATTTGTCGCATTGTAAATATCTGGTTACTGGTGGATATGGTGTAATCACTTTGTTAAAAGCGGGTTTTAGTCCTTCAATTAGAAGCTAGTTCCACGGTAATTGGCGCAGACCGTGGGGTCCATTTTTAAACCTTCTGAATCGTTTCATACTCATGAAAGTGCTAACGCACATCTTGAACACTGGAGACATTATCGATTTGAATTCGCCTTGACGAGCAAAAATTTGGTACGAGAGCAACTCCGTCTACCAGCGAAGCCAAACAAGATCAGCCTTATTAAAGATGATTCGTCCAGAAAGCGGAATTTACCAACTACTGTGCAATAAGTACCCTCTTTGCTTACCCTGGCTTTAAAGTCGGCAAGCACATCAAGGCGGCGCAGCGCTTTTAGGAAGCGTCTATATACACTTCGTCCTTCTCTTCCGGCATACTTAGGCATAAATGAGTGATTTAAAAGAATGAATTCCAGTACTCGGCGACGAGGTTTTTCTCCCATCACAAATCTAACACTAAATTTTCGCTGCTTCATATAGCCGGCGGAGTAAATTTCACAAGAGCCTGCATTTATGCTCTCAAATCCTGATCACTAAAACGTTTTTTGAAATTGTCATCATTTCCTACTTATTGCTATCCCTCGAATGATGCAGACTGAGCTGCAATGCTACTAGTTGAATGCAAGTGTTGAAATATTTGAATTAACTCCTGAATACACCAGACATTGGAAATCTTTTCAACAGGTTTCCCAATTATAGAGGCGGCATTGATGAGACAAGTCAGCAAAAGCTTAAGGATTGCAACGTACAGCTTTCATCTCTTCGGTTTTCTCACGGCGTGAGAAAACACAATATTAATTAAAGGTTGTGATTTGTCTTATTTCTTAAATCAGTAAATTCATGGTTTCTCTCATTTCGCGTGGGTGCTGGAATAATAAGAGATGACGCACATCCTGCCGAGCAATTTCAAAATTGAATTAAACACGTTTCAACAGAACATCTAGCAAATAAGTCCGCTTGTGTCAGTACGTAGAACATAATATTTGTAATACCAATTTATAAAAGAGTTTTTCCCCGCTGTTGAAAAAAAAAATATTTACACAACTAAAAATATTTGTATTTTTTTTAACCAAAATGATGACGCATTTTATTTAAAAACAAATACGTTTTATAAATATGAAAACACATGTACAAGAATATACGCAATTTTTTTTTATCGTTTTCTTGGAATTTCTACCAAAATAAAGCAAAAACAGATTGAGGCCGAACTTTGTAGGAAATTTTTTTCTTGTAACAAAAAAGTTCAGAGCAAACTCGATCGATGAATGCTAAAAAAAAATTTATTTGTCAAATAATATAATAACCGTCTAGACGCATGTAGATCGTTCATAAGAGCAATTAGAAAAATATGCCTCTCATTATTATTATTTCTGTTCCGTGTGCATTTCGTTCCAACAGTCTTCAAACTAACCATACACAAGCTCTTATGTTGATCTCGATTGCGGTTTTTTATTTACACTCTTATTAATTCTTCTCCATAAACTAATATTAATTTAAAAAGTGACGTTCAAAAACTGCTGTTTAAATGAAAATAAATAAGTCATATAAATGATATTTGCCCAAAAGCGTGCCTTTAGTAGTTAATTCTCGTACATACACATTTTTAACTTAAAACGTTTCGAAACGAGATTGTGCAAAGAACTCGCCAGACACTGTCAGACGCTTAACGGATTAGAGTTTGGAACAAAAGCTAGCTAATAAATGAAATAAAGCAGTTCATAATCAAATGGAAAAACGTAAGTCTTTTTCGGAGAAATCATTTGATATTTTGATATTTATTAAGAATAAAGCGAGTGAGAGAATTCCTAATTCCCCGTCATTCTACTTTCAAAACTTAAAATTGAGTCAAAATGAGTGATAACAATGTGTTAGACAAGCAAATGACATTTGTTTTACAATAATAGTTAATTAATTTAAGTATTCGCAAGCAACAATGCTAACAAGAAAAACATCTTGAGTTTAAAATGTATTTTATGAAAAGAAATATAATACAAATATATGGACGTCTGGGAATTATATTGTGGAGTGAAGCATAGTTAGTATTTTTAAAAGTCTTGCACGACTCGCTATTCTGCGTCCGTCGTCAAAAATATGGTTGACTGAGAGTGTTGCAGTGTCGAACGCACGAACGCTTGAAAATATTATATACAATTCCGAAATAGAACAAAGAGTCCTTAGTAATATTTTCAGCACAGTATAAAGTGAAAAATGAGTAATTTAACGGTCAATTCAGCAAATACAGGTGCGTAGAAATTTTTAGAGTAATATATAAACATAAACAAAGTGCGTGAAAAAAAATAATTGAAGAAATTTCAAAATCAAAAAATGACGAACAATAAGTAAATAAATGTATTTATGATAAAATTATAGACCAGGTTCAATATGTGAAGAATTTTTTTTCGGGAAGTGTACTCGGAACATATCTATTCAAAAAAAAGTGATTGTGATTCGTTTGATTTGATATTTGGAAGAAAAACAATTCTAATGCTTGTAAAGTATTCAATCAAAACGATTTAAATCAGGTTCATTTTGAAATGCCATGCGGACAATTTCGCGAGCCAAATATAGTTAGATAGACGTTGACCGCGACTTCGTTCGCAAGGAATTCTAAGTTGGTTCTAATAAAAATTTTATTAGGTTTTTACGTTGTTTCTTTTACTATAAAATATAAACTAATATGTTAAAATATATTGAAATGAAAAAAAGTGGTCCATGTATTAGTCTAAGTAAGGAGCTGCTTGTGTTCCAATATCAAACAATTCGATTCACGAAAACAGTTTTTCCGAACAGATCTCCACATACCGGCATTGGCAAGGAGTCACCAATAATATTTAGTAAAACGGCATCATCAAATCGTCACTTCCCGGAAGAAAAAGTGTTAATTTAGGCAAAGAGTTATCTGTGTACCAAAGTTCATGTAAATAATGCGATTTAAAAATAAAGTCGATTTTCGAATGCGCAAAATACACCCTCCAAGTTTAAGGTCTCTACGATCAGTGGTTTAGGCTTTGGGTTGATCCGTCAGTCATTCAGAACAAAGCCTTTTATGTACATATGTAAATATATAGACTAGAGTTTACCCGGGACTTCATCTGCAAGGTACTTTAGAATGGGTTCTAATTAGATTTATTAGGTGTAATATTTTATTATTTTGCATCAAATGCCCGGAAGAAAAAGTGTTCCCAATGATAATTTCGGCCCAAGTCTACTGCTGTACTAAAATTCATGTAAATCAAACGATGAACACAAATTTTTCGAAGAAATCGGTCCGGAGTTCACCTTATTAATTTCATATAAATAAAACGGGTTTAGAATAAATTGGAGTTTTCGAATTCCCGAAATTCAGGTCATACACAGAATACACCCTTTAAGTTTCAGGTCTCTATGACCAGTAGTTCAGGCAGGCGGCGGCAATATCCGAGTGGGTAGAGTTCGAGTCATGGTCCGACCGACATCTAAAAGTATAGAAACTCTACTTTCCTAATCGCCTCTCGGTAGGGGATTTCATTCCCTTCAAGTGAAATAAAATCTGCTCATAAGAGTACATCGTCCGTTCGGAGGCATCTTAGAATCATTTGTAGGTATCTCTGTCCGTTGTAAAAGCATAAAAGCACATACCGCAAATTGGAGAATATTAGGCATTGAAAACATTAGCCTAAAAATATTGAGATATTCAGTACTTATATTTAACAAAAAATTAAAAAAAAATTAAATTATTTATATAATATCTTAATTAAAAAAAATCACCAAGAAAAAATCCAAAGAGCAAAAAAAAGAGAATATGAATAGAAATGAAAACAGAAAATAAAATTGAATTACAAAACGTTTATTCTATGGGTTTATGAAAGAATCAATTTCTTCTGCACGTTCTTCTTGTGCAACTACCAAAGTGTGATCGCCTAATAGGAGTCAAATATATAACTTTTCTTAAAATAAAGATTAACATGGCAATTTTAGGGACTGGTGAGTACTTGACTTTACTAGAGCAAGGTTTCCCTGTGAAACACAGCTAGTCCCAGGTCCGCTGTTAGGCAAGAAAAAAGCTATCAATCCTTCGACAAATAAATGTTGCATTCCTTCCAGGAAAGAAACTATATAAAAAATGAGATTAAAATAGAGCAAGTTTAATCCAAGATTATACAAGAGATAAATTGAGAACAAATAAAATAAAAATTACGAATTATTAAAAAGGTCATTACAACAAGTTTATATATATAATAAATAATTGGCGCTTGGTTAGGCTGAAGTGATTTTTGTCGACCGAACTTCTTCTCCAATTCGTGGTTTTGCGTTTTGATGCTTTTCAACAAATGGAGGGACCTACAGTAAATACTAAGACGCCTCCGAACGGCTGATGTTTTTTTCTGATGAGCCTTTATTTCATCTCCTAAATACACTCGGATGGGTTGGCATTCCCTGCCGAGGGGCGATGGTAATTAAAAATCTAACTTTTGAATGTTGCTGGCACCGGTATTTGAACCCAACATATATAACATTTATTTAAAAATCTGAATATTTCATGAAATAAGTAAAAAATGTGGTCTATGTGTTTGAATAAACAATCATTTAGGTAAATATTCAATCCCAATAAAGTAAACTTACCACTAATTAATTTAAGTATTTTCTGTTAAATTTTAAAAAAGAAAATATTGCATTTATTTTTCTATTAATCCGAATTTCTGACTATAATAAAGTCGTTTTAAACAGAAATAGAAATAACGAGGAATATAACCGAAAGTTTAATTAATAAATAGAATAGAGAGGCGAGAAAAATTTGCAAGATATTTTCAAATACGTCAAGTGAGTGTACTAAACTTTTATAAGTTTTAAGAAATTATATTTAAACAAATAAATTAGTATATTAAGGACGCTATTTTTCGACATAATCTCCAATCCTCGGCTAGCGGTGTCCGTCTGTACTTTGTCGTTAGTGCTGTCGAGTCGACAGTTCTCAACATAACGAAATTGAAATCCCTTCGGCCGCGAGAGCCTTAATAGACTTACTTTTTGGATATGCCTCGTTTCACAAAGTTTTCTTAAACTTTTTATTTTGACTTAATAAAATCATAAAATAAATATAAACAAATATACTTGTCTTAAATGTTAGAGATTATAATTTAAATCTTTTTGAAGTCTTTGAATTGGGTCCTTTCGAAATTTAAAATTAATTTTAGAATTTCAAAAATTATAATGCAAAATTGTTCATTTAAAAAATTTTATTTAAATCTCCTCAGCACCCATCTTTGGAATACGCCATCTGCAGGCACTCTTGCTCTTTTTGAACATAGTTGTCGTCTATGTGAGCCGCCTCAATGTCTCCGTGGCCATTGTCGCTATGACTAACGCAAACACAACGAATCCAGATTTTCCCGTATGTACAAAAATGTTGTTACTTTTTCATATATAAAGAATTAGCACATTATATATATCTACTTTTAGGAGTATGATTGGAACGAGTCACATAAATCCTACATACTTTCCAGCTTCTATTGGGGTTACGTGCTCACTCAGTTTCCGGGCGGGTATCTGAGTAGTCGCTTTGGCGCTAAAATTACTATACTCATCGCCACGTTTGCCTCTGCAGTCTGTAGTTTCATCACTCCCATCTGCGTGCAATTCGGTGGCTGGCCCATCCTTTGCGTTATACGTTTGCTGCAAGGTCTATTTCAAGGTGTGATTTTCCCCGCCATACATGACCATCTCGCCAAGTGGTCACCTTTGCATGAACGCAATCTTCTCGGCGCACTGAGCTTGTCTGGTACCGATTGTGGCACTGTTGTCGCCTTAGCGTCAAGTGGTCTGATCGCAAGCAGTTCGCTGGGTTGGCCGGGTATTTCCTACGTATCGGCCTCACTCTGCTTCGCTTGGTGTGCAGTTTGGTTGGTCTTCGCTTCGAATAATGCGCCTTCGTCAAAGTTCATCAGTCCACAGGAATGCAAGTATATTGAAACATCACTCGAACGTAATGACGACTTTCATAAACAACGTATACCAGTTCCGTGGCGTGCTATCTTCACCTCAGTGCCATTTATGGCCTTTCTTGTGGGTCGTTGCGCAGAGGCTTGGGGTTTCACAACACTACAGGCGCAAATACCTTCGTACATGAATGGTGTTCTGAATATGGAAATCAAAAAGAATGGTCTCTTCTCAGCACTACCCTATCTCGCAATGTGGTTCCTTTTGTATGTCTACTTGGCGGTTGCGAATTTTCTGACCCAACGGAATATACTATCCTTAACGGCAACGCGTAAAACTATCAACACAATTTCGTTGTGGGTACCTGCGCTACTACTCGTCGGCATTGGTTTCATGGACTCATCTCAGTCGACAATGGCTATAGTCTTGATGACCCTAAATGTCGGCATAAATGGCGGTTCGACCATCGGCTGCACGCTAAACACGATCGATCTATCGCCAAACCATGCAGGTATACTGATGGGCCTATCAAACACTATTGTGAATATTGTGCCGATCTTATCGCCGCTGCTTGTGGGCGTGATTGTGACCGATAAGGTAAGTGCTTCCATTTATTTGGAAAACTCAGAATTAAATTAATTAATAATTATTAAAATTAATTGAAATTTCAGCATAATCGCACACAATGGCAAATCATCTTCGCTATTGCCGCCGTGATTTTCTTCCTGGGCAATTTAGTATATATTATTTGGGGTACTTCAGAGACTCAATCATGGAATTCTATTGACTTTCAACAGCACGAAAAGGATTTAGAGAAATCAGTAGAAAAGCAGACAACCATAGAAAAGAAAGTAGAACAAAGCACTAAGCATGAAAAGAAAGAAAAAGAAAATGGAGGGATTGGCAATGTTGTAGAGAGAACAAGACTTTAAAATACTCTTAACAAACATATATTATTTTTGGTATTATTATTTTATAGTCAAGCAATTGTGTAGCATATAATTTATAAGTAAGTATTTAGTTACGATTATATTTATTTAATTTTTTAAATCCCAGATGTTTTTTTCCAAATTTTTGCACAAAAATCTTTGACACAAATAACTCTATGCATACAAACGTTTTTGTTTACACAAGTGAATAAATAGTTTTAGTATTGTATATTTATTCAAATAAATTAGCACATTAATTGAAAATATTATAAAAAAAATATTGATATATAAAATCTATTAAGGTAAATAGTAACCGCACGTTTTCATTGAAGAAATGTGGAGCAGTCGTAGGCAAGAAAAATTTACCGTTTCGAAAATTTTATAGTTTTTATTCTATATTAACTCCAGACTGAAACATGTGAATTTCGGAAGGCGAAGAGTTTGACACTGACACCGTAAATTATCAAAGCCGGAGGTCTTTGAAACCATTCGTACAAATATAAGGTTTTTTGCTCAAAAATCTGTCAAAAAAACGATCTTAGAACGTAATGATATTCTACACACCTTTGGTTATGTAAATAAAGATTTGTACGGAAAATCGTAGATATCGGAGTAATATATTGTATAGTCTCTTTCAAGCGACTTTCCGGATATGAGAGTTCATATTAGTATATATTTTAAGATAAATAATAAAATACCGTAAATGTGAAATTGTCCTGATAGGCATAAAGATTTTTATATGGTCGGAGCGAGCTCTTCTTTCCTTTAAAGGCCTACTCTTATTGTACCGGTAAAGTAAATTTTGTTACTTTTTTTTAACACAAGACATTGAAATTGGTTTCTAGCGAACAGGTTACGTTGTTTGATAAAACCGCACTGATTTCTTTCGACCATGCCAAATTGCATTTGACTGTTGGTAAAGAATATTCCCATCGAAATGGTAGACGGAACGCTACAAAATAAAAAAGTTTTACTTATTTGTTTATTAAGTCATAAATAATTAAAACTAACTATGGAAAATATGCCAGGACGACAAAAAATAGCTGAATCAAAACGATTATCTTCCAAATTAGAAGGGTAATTGTTTTCTCGCAAATTATTAGCATACGCCTTTTTACACTATTTCTTCATCTTCAGTGAATTCCAGGCCTAAAATATGCCTACCCATTTTGGTTTTTTATTTTTTTCACAAACTAACAACACTTAACCGAACATCTGATCGCTTGTTACCTCGTATTTCTCTGGTATAAGAATTTGCAGGGTGACAGTGAATTTAGAATACGAAATAGTAACAAAATTTACTGATTTCTAAATTTTAATACCCAAGTAAATTTTGTTACCTCGACTAGGCCAGTTAATATATAATAATATAGAATGCATAATTTCAGATACACCTTTCATCTAACTGTACATAAAATAAATAAAAAAGATAACCAACAAACAATCATCAGTAATGTTACATTTTTTATGTGACTGGTGGAGTTAATCGATTGGTCAACTGAAAACAATAATAAAGTTAAATTTAGTTTTTTTTTACAAAAAGTTATCGTACATTTTTATCTCGGCTTTTCCATATGAATGTTGGCAGTTCGGTTATATAATTTTTGTAATTAATTCAAAGCAGATTTATGTTGGGGGTATTATTCTTTGAGATGATACAGCAATATTATAAATAATGTCTTCTTCATCAGCTGTATGCGAGGATTTGTTGACAAGTTTTGTAGAAATTTCTATAAATTCATTAATATCTGCAGTAATCTTGTTTAGAGTTTGATACATTCCAGTTGTTACTTGTGAACCAGATTACACTAAACAAGTGCCACGTCTCGTCGGTAGCAAAAACTGAATTCGAATTTTTGGTTAATACCAGTTGTCGACCATCAAATTCACATACTGCATCTCCTCTTCATTTAGTTCCCAAAAAGGAACCAAATGATTGGAGACCGTGTGGTGATTAGAGAAGATTAAATTTTATAACTATTCCAGATCGATTTAATTATTGATTTAAAAGATAAATCAATACTTTCAAAAATTGCATATCATCACCAATGGCTGAAGAAGATATACACAAAACAGCAACAACCACCCTTTTCGGAATGTTTGAATTTGGACGTGTGCCTTTCGGACTCAAACATTTCAACGATTTATTAATGAATACATCGATGATATTCTAGTAAGATGATCTAATGAAGATCAATATATTGAACACTTGAAATCAGTATTTAAAAGACTTGAAAATTACAATTTAAATATTAAACCTGCCAAATGTTATTTTGGAACAAATACATTGAATTTTCTTAGCTATGAAATTTCAAGTGAACGTATCAGACCTTCTTTAGAACCTATTGAACCAATTTTAGAATTTTAAAAACCGCAGTCGATTACCAAATTACAAAAATTTTTAGGTATGGTAAATTATTATCATAGATATATTAAAATGTTAGCAGCAGAATTAAGTCCTCTGTATAAAATGTTAACATTTGCTTTTGAAAACGTAAAAAAACTTTTCGCACAAAAAACTTTATTAACACAATTTAACAAAAACGGTAAGTTATCAATTGCAGTAGATGCTTCAAATGTTGCAATTGGAGCTGTTTTACAACAAAAGAGTAATAACACACTAGAACCATTAGCATATTTTTCGCGAAAATTAACTCCAACTGAAGTTAATTATTCCACATTCGATAGAGAACTTTCAGCAATATATAATTCAATTAAACATTTTCTCGAAGGTAGAGCTTTCACTGTTGACACTGATCATAAACCACTTACACATGGTCTAAATTCTAAAGCCGATAGATCTCCTCGTCAAATTAGACATTTAAAATATATTGCTCAATTTATCATACTAATGATGTTAGATACGTTTGTGTGTAAAGATAACATAATACTTGATACTCTTTCCAGTATCCCAGAAATTAATTCTATTTCAACAAAAGACATTAATTTTCAATACCTTTACGAAGAACAACAAAAAGATGAAATACTTAAAAATATTATTTCAGATCCAAACGCTAATAGTAATTTAAGAGAAATTAATGTTCCTATTCTAAATCTCAATGTATGGTGTGGTGTTACACAAAAACCTTTTAGACCATATGTGCCTAATTCAATGATAAAAATTATTTTTGAAAAAATTCATTCTTTATCATATCTAAGTGTTCGAACAACTCGACGTCTTATTCAATCTAAATATTTTTGGCCTAATATGCGTAAATAAATTAATAGTTGGACATCATCTTGCATTAACTGTCAAAAATCTAAAGTTACTAAGAACATAAAATCTCCAATTCAAAAGATTAATATTCCCTCTGGACGATTTGAACATATTCATATAAATCTAGTAGGACCTTTTCCAGTTTCAAAGCAGAATCGATACATATTAGCAATTATTGACAGACATACACGATGTCCGGAAGCATATCCACTTAAAGACATTTCAGCGGTTTCTGTTGCAACTACAACTCGTATTTATTCAAAATTATGTTCCTCGTTTCGGTATTCCACTCAATACAACGGTAGATCAAGGAACACAATTTACTTCAAAGTTATTAGGTTCTCACAAAACACACACTTCTCCATATCATCCAAGTCAAATGGAATGATTGAAAGATTTCATAGGACTTTTAAACTGCAATTACAGCATCAAATGATTCATTGGTTTGAAGTTTTACCGTGAATTCTTTCTTCATCTGAATTAGATAGACATTGAGACTTGAACTAATTGTTTCCAATTATAATTATAATAACAAAATCGAAAAAATTAATTCTAAATTAAGAAAACATTTCTCACTTGTTCGATCGAAGATAATACATCATAATAAAGAAAATTGTTTCAATCCTAAAAATTTAACTTCTTGTGAATATGTATTTGTTAAAGTCATTCATAAGTCTAATCTTCAACCCCCTTATGAAGGACCATTTAGAGTTATATCCAAACATAACAAAACTTTTGAGATACAATATGGAAATAAAATTAAAACAATATCAATAGATTTACTTAAACCTGCAAACATTATGTCAACCATTTCTTCACGAAACCCAACTACACTGACAAATACCGAACAAAAAAGTTACATTTAACCTTAATTAATATTAATAAATATGAGTTTCACTGGAGAGGGAGTAAATGTGGGAATCTACTTTAACACTTGTTACTTGCAATTTTCAACTTCTCAATTTTCTTTGTTACTGAATTTTTAATTTCAAATATTTTCATTTTTCTGAATTTTTATAATTTTCATTTTCAAATAAAAAGCTTATGTTCGATAAATTTTATTTTGAAAAATACAATATTATAGTTTTTATTTAAATGTATAGAAACAAACTTTTCTATAAAGTTCTTATAGTAATCTTGTTTAACAGGAGGAATGAATTATAGGTTATAATAAAAGCCGAACTACAGGGTGATCCATCTTTTATGTCGGTACGTAAACATTGAATAACTTTGATCTATCGATTTCTATAAGTGATGTATTTTTTATTCAATTCGGTTCCTTATAATTTTTTTGGACTAGTTTTTGAACACAATATCAATCAAGTGGCTACCTTTATTAGCAATTACAAAATGACTCCTTTTTTCTGTGTTTGCCATTACTTTTTCCAGCATCTCGGGTATTATGGAGTCGATTTCAGCCTTGAGATAATTCAGATCATTCAGATGGTGGTATTGTCAGATGTTGGCTTTTTGCCGCGATATTTTTTCCGATATGCACGTTGAGTTAACATAATGGAACGACTGTTTTCGATGTAAAGTGTCACTATTTCAGCGCGTTGTTTCGGTGTAAAGCGATTCGTGAGAAAAATTGTACTGAACTGACGTTTCCATATCTGATGCAATCGCTCGGTTTGTAAAAGTTATTCATATTGACATATATGGAAACCCTGTATATTTTAATTTTTGCGATCTACCCACTAAACATTTTCTTATATTAATGGCTTGAAATTCTGTATCTTCATTTGGAACTTTCTAACTTCTAAAGGTGTTGTTGACAAGAAATCTTGGTTAATCTTTTGGATTAGATGAAATGACGTTTTCTTTCTTTTTAAGTGTTTTG